TCCGGATCTTTATTTTCTTACGATGTCCCAGATCCCGCAAGGTCAGCGATATATGTATATACAGTACCGACGCTACGTAATTTTAGGTAGGTAAGGTAAGGCAAGGTTAGGACCGTTAGGTATAGGTAGGTAGGTACACACTCACACGACCAAGCCTCACGAGATCTCGTTGTGTCGCGCAGCCGCGTAGGATCATGTGTTTAGATTCAGGGCTGATCGTATGTCTGTTAAATTTTACTACCTACCTCATTACATTAGGTACCTACCTGTAACTAACACCGCCTTTCTTTTCTTTTTTCTTTTCTTTTTTCTTTCCTTTTTTCTTTCCTTTTTTTTTTCCCTTTTTTTTTCCCTTTTTTTTTCCCTTTTTTTTTTCCCTTTTTTTTTTCCCTTTTTTTTTTCCCTTTTTTTTTTCCCTTTTTTTTTTCCCTTTTTTTTCCTCTACCAACCTACCTCCTACCTAACCCTTGTAGGATTTAGAAGGATTGTGCAATTGCGCGGCACAAGAACCATTGTCTGCATCTTCGGCCCGGTCCCATTGATCTGCCCTCGGATGTGGATGTTGTGCATACGCTGCTGCTGCTACTGCTTTATGAAGCCCGACGGCTGCTGCTCTAGATACAATATTATGAGAGTTTGCATTAAGGTCACATGTCCGGGACCCCTTTAGGAAATCCATACACCGAACACGGCTTCTATTATGTGCATACTATGTAGGTAGGTAGGCTGTTAATCTAATGAGGTTGCGTCTTACCTGAAAAAATGCCGGCCGCCCTGAAGCATGTAATAGTAATGAAAGGCTACTCCTAGTATCTAGTATCTAACGCCGCGGCCGCGCATAAGAGAAGAGGACCTTCATCTGGATACAATACCGGGGCTACTACCTAGACCTACGCTTAACACGCCAGAACGCCCACCCTCCCCCTCGACGCCGGCAATATCTTGCGGGAAATAGGCTGTTATCCTAAGCTGCTTACGGCATAAGCTGCGGGCGGAGGCGAGTCGGGGCCAAGACAAGCGAGAGAGAGGCTGAAGAAAGGCCTGATTAGTATTACATTCGCTCTTATTGAACGTTCCATCTCGGTTTGATATGGGCTCGTCGCACGCTAATGTAGTCCGATACAAAGTAGGTAGTGTCCGTATGTCGTCGAATTAGCACCAACCGACTGACTAGGTGGCTTGGACATGATTGCTTATTTCCGTTGGGTACCGCCTACGTAAGTCAAGCACCTAAGGCAGGTTATGTTCTAACTTGGCACGCTAGAAACGGGATAGAACAGCAATTTTCTTTCTCTCGGCGGCAACCAACACATCGAGCAAGGGGCTGTAGGTAGTAGGTATGGTATTGTATGTATTGTTGCTTGTATGAGACATCCCCCCGGAGTAGGGAGGGGGGGAAAGCTGCAGGAGCAATACCGATGCAATTTCATCTTGCAGCCGAGGCCAGAACAAAAGCGGCCGAAGCTTTGGCTTTTTTTTGGAGGGGGAAGAGAGAGAGAGAGAGCAGGGTGGATTGTTCAAGGGGCGCCCCACGATTTTTAAAAGTAAACTCGCATGAACAAGTAACTTAACAGAAAACGTCCCTGCAGAGAAAAGAAAAAAGAAGGACCTTAGGTTAGGTACCTGTTAATTAACTCCCTGGTCCACCTAGGTCCGGCATTGATATCGTGTTGCTATTGTATTCGTACAGTACGAACGAATGGTTTAACAACGAGTAATGCCGTCGCTCTCGGAGAGGGGCGAGTAGTGCCGGCCGGGTTTCGGGACTTGATTATGCACGAGGAAGTTTAATTTACTTTTTTTATTTCTCTTCCTGTCGCTCTCCTTTTTTCTTTTTTTTATTCTTATTTTATCTTAAGACATACATACTATAGGTACCTAAGTTAGTGACAGAACAGCACGAGGAGGAGGAGGGACCCCGGCATAATAAACAGGTAATAAGACCCGGGTTGGGGCGATCAGCACGTGCGGGAAGATCTTCGTCCAACGGCTGTCGCTCCCATAGGTTTTATAAAAAGCCACAAGGAAGAAGAGAGAGAGGGGGAGAGACAAGACACACACCAGGCCCGGGATGCTCATTCGTCGGTTTCGTCGTAATGCAAGCCGTCTTTTCAGCTCTTCTCTGCAACGACGAAGGGAAAGAAACCCAACACAACCCGTCCGCCCAGCCCGCCTTGCCCTCCTTTGGGGTTGCAACTGTGGCGTCATTGAGCAGGTGTTGATCAACCGGCTCGCATCGCCCTCGCTAACCTAGGAAGGTCGAATCTCGCCAAAGCCCCTAGACACGCAACCGGGACTCGGTCTGGGGCAGCTTTTGTCGTGGGAAGTTTATTAACCCGTCTTATTTATTTACTTACCTAGCATCTCCCGATGGTTGTGCATGTTCGTTCATGATGTGCATACACCGACATACATACAACGATAATATAACAACCACTACTACTACCAAGTACTGCTACTCTAGCATGACATTGGATATATTTAAGATGGTCTGTATAATATTATACGTGGGGTGGAATCGATCACGGGTTCCAAAGTGACATATCGCGCCGCATGTAATAAGCCCGTAAGCGATCTAGTTCAGGCGAGATCTTACCGAAGGGGAAAAAGAATAATAATCATAAAGGTCTTTGCCGGTCTAGATTACCTACATTCCTAAGGTAATTAGGTACGTATATGCACACATAGGTTATCTTATACGCGGGTTGCATAAGGTGAGGAGTTAGGACGGGATATTTCTAGGTACCTGAGGAAGGTATCGTATGTATTGTACCATAGGGTATTAGGAGGCACATATGTAATGCAATATAAGTTGCGTGCGTTGCGTGTGCGTGTAAGGCGGGAATAATATACGAATCCCGTAGCCGGCGGCGTTTACATGAGGTACCTAATGTATGTTAGGTAGAGGTATGTATGTGCGTATGTGTGTGTGTTGTACTTTACTTAATGTACGGGTAGATATGTACGATTATACAAAGCGGAAATGTCTTAGAAGGCTTCGCGAAGCCGTGGCAGGGTTGCCAAAAAAGCGTCGCTAAGCCGAAAATAATGAAATCTGAACCGAATCGTGGGTAGGTTTGGTCGGTGCCATTCGGCGAAACGAGGCGAGATACCCGGCTGCAGGTCAAAGCAACGCGGTGGATGGGTGGGTTGGTGGGTTGGTGGGCTGGTCGTGCGTTCGTGCGTTGCAATGGTGGTGTTGGCCCCCCCTTTTGGGGCCTTGGCCCTACGTTATGTGCCGCAAAAACCAGGGTTACAAAAGTCCCATTCGTAGCTTTAGAGTATCATTGCCGAAGACACACGAACCTCCGTGTTATTGCGGGTAGATAGAAATCACAGAACAAGAATCGGAGATAGGCATGTCGCTCCTCCTTCCTCGTCGTCGTCGTCATCATAATGATAATAATACCAATAATAATAATAATAATAATAATATCTAGCGGTTACTGTGTTTCTACATATGTTACGTACCGTATTGTATAATACTATACGTACCTCATATATACTACCTAACACATTACAACAATCTAAGGTCGTCTAAACGACGGGATTACCTCATAGAAAGGGTAACAGTATCAATATAGTCCGTGGGGAGTGGGAACACACATTATACAATGTAGCACTATATGTAACGCACCTTATTCTCAGCCTTCTCTCGCCCTTCTTTACACAAGTACAAAGCCAAAGCTGTCAATATGTAAGTCAGCAGCTTATGTATCCGTAACTATTGTATGTATGTACGTGTATTATTATGCATAATAAACTTTACCATAGGTATATAGAGGTAACATATAATACATACTAGGTATATATTGCCGTATGTGGTAACAGGTGTAGCCATCTAGCATCTGATGACCTTCCCGAATAAACCAGAACGAACGTCTTCAGGGGGATGAAGCGCTTTTTCAGCTGAGCAGACGACAAGGTCCCGTGATAGGAAGGAAAAGGATTCTTACGCGCTGTACGTTTCCGTCACGTTTTTCTTCTGGTTCTTCTTCTCTCCCTCGTGGCGCGCGCGGAGACCGGGAATATCGGTAATTGATCAGCAATCCTTCAAAGCCAGTCCCGTCTCGTCTGTGCTTAGCGACGGCAATAGGCGAGCGATACGCCGTATACACGGACACTCACGTCTATTTGTTCTACATATATAAGTCGATCTTATATATGGATATATATTATGGTATAAATCTTAAAAACTCCGGGGGTGAATATGTATGTCTATCACTTTCATTGTCCCTGAGCCGGTAGCAGCAGTAAGTAAATAAGTACCTACATGCGCAGTGCTACTATGTACGTGCCGTACTATTCTTAGAAAACAAAAGGGGGAAAAAAAAATCAAAAATCAAAAAGGTGATATGTAGATGAGATGGTTGTCGAAAGGTACCTAACCCAAACCTAACCTTGATCCGATCTAATAATAAACATTCCCATCCCAATCTATCTACCTAATCTATCTACCGCCGTACGTAAGAACCTAGCAGAGGGAAGGATCGTAGATGGGGATTCGGTCTGGCACGCGAGTTTTGGTTCTACTTTACCCTTTCCGAGGGGAGAAAAGGGTAAAGGAACCCCTAGAAAAAACACGGAAGCCTGGAAAATCAACCAAAACCTGGGTGGAAGGATTCGAAAAAAAGAAATTGTTCCGGAAGACATGCAAGCAAAAATATACACATACACATAGGAACCCGTCCCGTACTTACTCAACCACGGTCACATCAGCTTCGGTACTCCTCTAACCTCTTTCTCTCTTTCTGGACCCTAGGTCAGTACCGTTACTCTAATTGCGCGACGATTTAACTTCCTAGCTGAGCTTGCGGCTGCTGGCAGCGCCTTTCCTAAAACTGATATTCGTTCCCCTGTTCGTTCCTAATATCGACGACGGATTTAATGTACCTATGTGAAGGATAGGGGGGGCCATCGGCACATACCTAGAGGTAATGATCCACAAAGATGACGATCCCGTCAGCCACCCGCATTTGTTTTGCTTCTAATTGCACCTTTTTTCTTTCCGCCTCGATGCCTCGATCCATATGCGATCCCGAGTCGTCTGCATTTCCTCGTGTTCGACACCGTCGTCTCGTGGAGACAACTCTAAGCGAGGCAGCACCATACGTACTTTGGTGCAAGATTTGCCGAGACGGATGCATGGCTGTAGGCTCACATGAGTAAAGTAGATCGCATTCTTTGACGCCTCGTTTCTAATAGCAAGTTTCATTTTTGGTGCCATCGTACATGCTAAATATGTAAATCATCGGGTTAAGCCGATACGTATTCGGACGGTGTACGTCCTGAACAAGAAACATTTTATGCTAACCCGTAGCTGAACAAACACTCCTTTTGAAACTCGTCTATCCTACCCATCTTCGAGCGCTCCTAAATAACCTTACCCATGGTCCGAATTCTCCCCACTGCTCGAGGAGGCTTAGCGGTGCGTATGATGCGGTATCCGCTACCACTGTTCGTTCGGGATGAGGCATCATGGCTAAGACTCGACCGTTCTCGCTTGTTACACCAGCGACACCGCCAGGACTGCCGTTGGGGTTGAAGGGGTATTTCTCGGTCACGTTCAGGTAATTGTCAACGTATCGAATCGGAATCATTCCTGCAGCGTCAAGAGCTTGTAACGAGCTAGTTGAAGAAAAGGATGCCCTTCCTTCGCCATGTGAGACGACAATCGGGAATGCCGAGCCGTGCATGCCGTGAAGGAATACAGAAGGACTCTTCTGGTTATCTTCAATCTTAACCATACTGAAACGCCCTTCGAACTGTTGGCTAGTGTTCTCTTCGAATATCGGCCAATGTTCCGTGCCAGGTATGAGTTCCTTTATTCGCGATAGCATCTGGCAGCCGTTACAGACTCCCAGAGCGAACGTGTCTGGTCTTTTGAAGAACTCCTCAAACTCCCGTCGGGAATTCTCGTGCATCAGGATAGATTTGGCCCAGCCTTGTCCGGCTCCAAGCACATCACCATAAGAGAAGCCGCCACAGGCAGCCAATCCCACAAAATCGGACAGGGAACGACCGGAAATGATATCCGTCATCATAACGTCGACTGGGTCGAACCCTGCTGCCTTAAACGCAAATGCCATTTCAGCATGTCCGTTGACGCCTTGCTCCCTCAAAATAGCCACACGAGGATTCTTGCCGAAGAAACCCGTTATGGAGGCTGTGAGCGGTAAGATCGTATCAGTGGGATCAAAAGTAAGTTTGTAGGAGATACCCGGGTCAGTTTGATCCTGAATGATAGAATATTCAGACTCGGCGCAGGTCGGGTTGTCTCGAAGCTTCTGCATTTCGTATGAGGTCTTCGCCCACCACTGCTGTATCTCCTTTCTATCAAGGCTGACGATAGGTGTCGTTCCGTAACGAATTGTCAAAGACTGCTTTGACTTGGGTTGTACGCTGCCGAACTTCTTAATCATGCCGGGAGGTGGTCCACAAGTTGCGAAGCATCTCTTGAAGTTTGTCTCATCCGATGCTCGCACTTGGAACACGGCGCCCAATTCTTCGTTGAATAGAGCATCAATCATGTCCTCAATCGAGCCAGAATTAGAAATTCCGTCCATCATGAGGTCAACTCCACATCGTCCAGCGAACATCATTTCAGCAACAGTAGTGATCAATCCTCCGTCAGATCTATCATGATATGCGAGGACAACTCCGCTCTGATGCAATTGAGATATCGCATCAAAGTAGTCCGTGATCAGATCTATGTCTCGTACGTCCGGAGCCTCGTCTCCCACGTAACCAAATGATTGGGCAAGGGCAGATCCTCCCATCGCCTTCCTACCCATCGCTAGGTCGACAAACATAAGAACTGTCTCCCCTACTTCTTCAGGCCGTCGAAGTTGGGGGGTCCAGGTCCTCCTGATATCGTCGACGATTGTGAATGCTGAGATGACAACTGAAACAGGCGCAGTAACGCTCTTGGTCTTCTCGGATTCACGGTCCTTCCAAGTGGTCTTCATAGAAGTCGAATCTTTACCCACAGGTATACTTATTCCTAGTCTAATTAAATCGTCAATAAAATATCTTAAGTAGAACTTCAATATTGTCAAGATGATATGAAGGGAGAGAAGTCGTGTAGAAATGGATTCGATACATACCGAGGACACATATCAAGCCCAATAGCTTCAACCGCTTCGTAGAGAGCAGCCCCTTCTCCTGGGTGATTTAGAGCTGCCATCCAATTGGCGGACAGCTTAACCCGTCTTAGGTCGCCCATGATATCGGCAGCGGCCAGATTCATTAAGCTCTCGGCTACCGCCATGCGAGCGGACGCGGCAGGAGATATCAAGGCAAGGGTTGGCTTTTCACCCATAGCCATTGCCTCGCCGTGCCTTGTCTTCACTCCTAGGTTAAACGACGTAGCTGTGACCGCAACATCAGCTACAGGTGTTTGCCACGGTCCTACCATTTGGTCCCGCGCAGTAAGACCTCCGACAGTTCGATCTCCGATGGTAATCAGGAATGACTTCGACCCTACGGCTGGCATCCAGAAAACTCTCTGGAGAGCATTCCTCAGGAGCTCAGCACCAGTTGATCTAGCTCCAAACGCCGCCCTCAAGCTGGCAATTGGTTCAAATTTAGGTAGCGTTGGCTTCTTGGAGTCGACTATGCGCTGCAATCGACGGCCCGGAGGAAACAAAGTTGACATCGGGAGATTGATAGGTCGGGACGCTACACCATCTTTGGCATTTTTGTCTGTTAGAACAAGCTTAGGCACGCCATCCTCATCTTCAGACACCACAGTGCCGACATCTGAGAAGCCACAGCGTTCGCGTCCTATTATACTGGTTAATATCAGGTGTGTATATCAAGAATTGACGAGACTTACTGCAGATGCTCACGAATCGACTCATTCCTTCGTTGTTGACCAACATAACGTAACGCTCTTGGGCTTCATTGCACCCTATAGTCGTAGCGGTTAGTAACCCCTTTAGTCCAGTAGTTCTAAATACAAAACAATCAAGGGGTAATTCAACGAGTCCGTATATGATACATGGTGATAGGGGTAACCAAGAGACGGGCAATTCTGTAAAAGCTTACATATTTGGAGGGGACTCAAGCTGGGGTCTGCGCTCTCGACTTGACGCAGTTCGAACTTGCCCCCGAAACCGGCATCTTTAACTAATTCCGGAAGAGCGTTGGATAATCCTCCAGCACCGACGTCGTGTATCATTGCCTGGGTGATTGTTAGTCGACGGTAAGGTGGTAGGGTAGCCAGGGGATATGAGGCAAGTTCGTAGAGGCACGGAAGCTAGGAGAACCCAAGAATCCGAGAGAAAACTTACAATAGGGTTCATATCTCCCAGGCTAACACACGCATCGATTACCATCTGAGCTCGACGTTGCATCTCAGGGTTACCCCGCTGAACACTGTTGAAGTCGAGGTCTGCAGTGCCTTCTCCTGAAGCGTTGCTAGACGCAGCACCACCCCCCAGGCCGATTAACATGGCCGGACCGCCAAGCACGATAACATGAGCTCCCTCGTGCACATCGGTCGGATTCTTGAGTGCGTGTGCCGGTCTGACACGACCAAGTCCACCAGCAATCATGATAGGCTTGTGGTAGCCTCGCCATTCTGTTGCCGCCGATGATTCTGGATTGTTCTTATTGGTACCATCTGTTAAGAGCGTACGGAAACAACCGGTAAGAGCAGGGCGGCCGAATTCATTGTTGAATCGAGCCGAGCCGATAGGCGCCTCAAGCATGATGTCCAGACTACTAGCGTAATGTGCCGGGCGACCAATGTCAGTCTCCCAGGCATGATGGCCTGGAATGAGAAGATCGGAGACCCAAAATCCACTTAGACCAGCCTTGGTGGATGATCCTCTTCCAACAGCAGCCTCGTCACCTTAGGCGAGATAAGTTAGTAATGGATCTAGTAGTATCCTTTTATGACAATGAAGATTATTGCTATGACAAGGTTTGGGTAAAAGCGGCAATATCAATCTAGTGAAACCATGAGTTGACTTACGAATCTCTCCGCCTGATCCAGTGGCAGCACCTGGGAAAGCTAGTGATAACTAGAAGTTAGCGCTTGCTACAACGCGCCAAATTGGGTACTCACGAGAAATGGCGGTAGGATGATTATGAGTTTCGACTTTGGCTAGTACATGCACGACTTCTTTATTAAGCTTCCATGACCCGGTTGCATAATCAGGGGCCCAATAGCTTCCCATCTCGCCCTGCATTACTGCGGCGTTGTCGCTATAGGCAGAGACAGTATAGTCGGGTGTCTTCTTGTGCGTATTGCGGATCATGTCGAATAGACTCAAATCTTTAGTCACGCCATCTATAGTCCAAGTCGCATTAAACTGCCTACAGTTGACTATTAGTTCGATTCGCCAGTGCGAATTTCTAGTAAAACAATAGGCTCATTGCAAAGGAAGAGAATCAGAAAAAGACAAGTATGAAATCAATATTTTATACATTGGGTAAGAAAAGGTGAGCAAGTACTAATAATCTGCATATCTTAAGCTCGTGGTCACTTACTTATGACGGCAGTGCTCGGAGTTTACCTGAGCAAACATGAAGAGCTCAATATCATTCGGAGGCCTTCCAAGCTGAGTAAATTCTTGGACTAAGTACTCCATTTCAGACTGATCCAGGGCCAGGCCGTGTTCGGCATTGTATGCTTTCAACATATCAATAGGACTTTGGTCTCCGGAAAATATATCAACAACTTCTAGGGGTAAGGGTTCCCGCTCTATGAACATAGAGTCAAGATCTGGCTCGGTTGTGGATATAGTTTCCGTCATCCTATCGAATAGTAAATCCTTGAATGGAATCTCATCGTCGTTCAAGGGCTCCTCGAATTCTAAGGTGACAGAGCGCCCCCGTTCAACTCGGTGAACCTGGTCTCCAAGGCCGCAGACTTCGCAGACCTTGGTAGCCTTGGAGCTCCATGGTGAGATATTCCTGGGGGCTATGTAATAAGTGCGCGTATGTCCAGTATGTGTTGGAGGCGACGGGCTAGCATCTCTAGGCAATGGGAGCAGCTGTTGGAGTTTGGGTCCAGCAACGTTCTTGTCCCCTTTGATATGCGCGTAATAAATCCATGTGCCTAGGATATTGGTGACCTTAGTAGATGCGATCTGGTTGGCGCGATCTTTTAACTTATTGGCCTCGGAGGGCGTGAAGCAAGACTCTCCGGTAAGGACGACGTATTCCATCTTGCCTGGTAGTGACCAGAAGGTCTAAGGGTATACAAGATCAGAAGCTCCAAGGAGACGAGCAACACCCCTCGGAAAACTTGAGGTCGTGACTCGTGAGTCTTACTCAAGAGCGCGAAAGAAAAAGTTCACAGCAATGTGGGGGTTTATTAGTTTAGGTGGTTTTCTTTGGAGGGGCAGAAGTAGAATCGTACATTAGGTATGTATTTTGTACGATTCATGCCAAACTGGCCAATCATGATGAAGTACAAAATGGATGCGACTTTACCTAGAATCTAATGATCCAATAAAATACGTCAATCTTATGTAAACTCTCAGGGGTTTCTTTTTTTTAGACTTTTTTTTTAGACTTTTTTTTAGACTTACCCTTAAGAGTAAGCTTATCGGGTATCAACCTTAAAAAAAAAAAAAAAATACCTTTAAAAAAAGACCAGCTGTTTCAAAAGCTCCACAAGTCGCGATTTACTTTCACTACCTAGGTATCGTGCACCTAAGGTACATTAGCTTCATTCACGGAAGATAACCAACCCTACAAGTTAGAACAACCCCTTTCGGACGAAAATTCGAATTCCGACCCACGCCGAACATTCCTCGACCCAGAATCTTTCTGCCATGCAGTTTCGGTTTTCCAATGTTCTATATCAAGGGTTCGGCATAGAATTAGTACAACCACAACTTCCCGTCCTGTCCGGTGGCTGCTATTCGATACAGCATCGAAATGCATTTCCTCACGACGTTGGCCGGCTATGCGGCCCCGATGTTCCTGATCTTGTCCCCCATCCTGTCGTACTCCGATCAAGCAATCTCGATGCATAGGAATAGGTCAAGCGCGGGCTTCTCCCTCGACATTCCTCTGATCATGCTTGTCGCATCCATATTCAGGTTTGTCAGCCCCTTACGTTATGAGACTAAGTACAAAATCCTGTAACACTAACGGTGTCATTATTAGGGTGTTCTATTACCCAGGCGCGAGATTCGACGTGGCATTGCTGATTCAGTCATTTTGCAACATATTCATCCAACTTATTCTGCTCAAGATTGCTCTCGACCACCGACCGCCGCCGTCGTCAAAAGGAGGTGATGCCGCTCTCCCTTTCGCAGGCGCCCAGGATGGGTTTGAGGGATTTCAGCGACCCTACAATTTTTGGCAGTGGCGTTCACCGAAACCGTATGCTTTCAACCTCGAAAAGGTTGGTCTTGGCTCATCTGCTAATCTTATGTGCTAGGTATTGGCAATTTCTATTGTCGTTATGTATCGGTTTGACCGTCCTGGAGCTGTTATTAGCACCATTCAGCTCAGTTTATTCTGGATATTCGGCCTTAATAGGATATATCGGCTTGTCAGTCGAGGCGACGCTGCCTATCCCGCAGCTGGTTTCTAATGCCCGCTCGCGATCTTGCAAAGGTTTTCGGTTTTCCGTGCTAGCAAGCTGGTTGGTCGGAGATGCCATGAAAATGTTCTGGTTTTTTACATCTACTAGTGCGATTCCGCTGGCGTTTAAGCTTTGTGGAATCTTCCAAGCTATATGTGACTCCCTCATTGGCGTTCAATACTTAATGTATGGTGACCAGCAACCAACAATAAAAACGCAGCCAGGATGGACGTATTCTGGTGTAAAGCCACATCTGCATGTAACCGGGAGGGAAACGCCTACAGGAAGGAGGACACCTCTTGGGGAAAAGACAATTTGAATAAGCAATGATTAAGTACCTACCTAACCTAATATTTCTATTAAATCTTCTATTACATTAGTTCATCTGTGACCATATAATCCGTAACCGTATAACGGCAAATATGGTGATGCAATCAAGCTCTCAAGTTAATATATAATGTTTATCCCATCAAATCTAATACGAATAAATAGAGAAAAGATACACTTACAAACTTAATTCTATTATAAAAAAAAGCAAAATGAGTCCTGCTGAAGGCCTGTCATTGTGCTTACCTAATATGGTAACACGCGCTATGATGCGCGAGTGGCTGATATGATAGGTCAAGTACCTCTAGGTAATTATTCTTCAAGACAAGGGTGAGAACGTCGTGAATTAGTGCTAAGGAGTACTTTCGGCATCCGACTTTCCCCGCGAATAATCAGCCACGAAGTGTGATATCTGTATCTAAATGCATACTTACCGAATCAGAGTAAAATGCTCATTCATTCATGTACCAATTATATAAGATGCAAGTTGATCCTTCTTCAATTATACGTGGGGGAAGTCTGAAAATATAGTTACTGCTTAACTGGTAAGAACGTTAGTGCACTCGACTTTCCGAGTACCTAGAACGCGTCTAACAAATCTTCTCGTTTTAATTAGCTATTACCTTAGGTAACGTAACCACCATTGTATTCACACACTGGGAAGCCACTCTCTATACACATACTGACTGCTATCTATTTTTCTCTCCATTTGCAACTTCACGTCGTATTCCTTCATCTCTTAACCGTATCGATTCATTTTTCACTCTTTTCAACCCCTTTGAAGTGAAATACCAGGTCTCAGTGCCAAGAGTTGAGAGGAGGTATTGATCATAGCCCCTGAATAATACAAGCCTTGATTTGGCATGACTATCATCTCGTAACTACATACCTATCTATACCTTTCTATATTTCAAGGTCAACTCCCAAGTTATACATCGGATTGGTATTGCGCCTTAGAGCGAAGTTTCAATTTACTAGGACTTTTGAGGCTCTCTGAGACCATTCGTCTTGAATTAGCCTACCAGCGCTGTAAGTTGATTATGTTTATCTACCTACCTATCTAGTTTCCCATTCAGCCGTTTGCTATGTTAGGAACTATGCTTCATTAGGTATATTGTCTTCAGGATATAACCTCTAAAGCACGTGCATTTTAATGCTAAAAGTCGAGGCTCGAGGCTATTATTATAGAAATAGCCAAGAACTTTTCTTCAGATCGTCCTCGACAAATGCTTTGATTCCTTTACCACACCTTCTCTTGAATAACAATATCTCGTCCCCTTTCCGTTTCATATATTTTCCAGTTAGGAATTATACAACTTAAACCAACTGCCCTACGCAATTACCCAGTCTGAAATTCACATTGTCATTCACATTTCGGGTTATCAATTGCACTTACTTACATCTGAAGTAGGCTGTAGTAGGACTTGGAGGCTACCTAGCTGACGTTCATTTATCGTTCAAAGGATTGATAATTCACCTCTTTTAGACATTCTAGGATTGCTCTGTATTTACGGTCTCGTCCTCGAAGACGTTCCTAGGCAACCACAATATCATCTATAGGTGAAAACAGCATCGAAACAGGGACATCTAGTCTGCGATTGCCTGCCGTTGCGCAGCAAACTAGTAGGCAACCCCCTTCCTTTTCAGCACACCTTCCAGTCTTTCCTACCTACACTTAGGTCGACGTTCACCAAACTATTTCACATCTTATTGCTGCTCTGGTCCCTCCGCCATCGCATTCACCCTCTTTATCTGTCGGCTGATCCGTGCAGTATAGGACGCAACTCCTTGGGTTTTACTCCAAGTCGTCCTGACGATTTCAACATCCACGCAGTATTTTATCATAGCGTTTTAGGCTTGTAAGTTATTTCTATTCTTAGGTCCAAAGCTACCTATAGCCTAGCTGCGCATCCCCATCGTTCCTGTATCCTGGGTATCTATCTGGGTGCTTAGGCAATCCACCGTTGCTAGGGTCATCAGCACCTCTTTCCACAATTTACAGCTTCCTCCTCTTTCCCATGCCCTCTCAAATATAACTTCGTCTACTTAGTAGCTTCCCGTTTATTATTCCACCTGGATTCTCCGGACACTACACTTTCCCTTCTCAATAATACTCAATCATCCAACTTTAAGGCCACCTTATCATCAATAATCCCTCTAACAGCGATATAGCATCGCCTCTTACGCCCACCATGCCGCCTGCTCGAGCCCGAGTCAACTTTAAAACTTACGAGACTAGTACCCGTCTGTTGGCTGCCGTGGTTGCCTCCCTCGAAGGCAAGGTGAAACTGGACTATGATGGTAAGTGGTGTTCTCTTTCTATGATACACTGTTCTCATAACTGGCTTCTTCATACATATCTCATGTCCTATGTCTATCAAAGCATAATCGGGAGTGGTGTAATTAGAATGCATATCAGCTCAGCCGCACCATCGTGAAATGGAATGAGCCAAAGCAGTTATATTACTGTAGTGTCTACCTATATTCGATAGACATTACGTACTGTTTCTCCATCACGAGCTGATATGATAGCAGTGATTGCCAAATTGGTGGGTGGAGGAACCACGGAGTACGCTGTTGAGCATCGCATGCGTCCTATCAAGCAATTGGCCAAGCTGCAAGTCCACTGGGTTCTGGATAAGAAGAAGGACCCAGGCGAGCTCCCTGTCGAGAACGGAGGTATATTCTATACACCTCTCGTATCACTTACATCCTGCGCTTTCATCTTTCTTCTTCATTGCTTCTTTCTACGGCCCATGAAAGAGGAGAAGTGACTAACCATGTCTCGCAGAAATCCAGAAGCTTTTCGGCGAATCTACCGCTGCAGGTATCCAGTGGCAAATGCGCGATGTGAAAGCTCTAGGCCGCGCACAGCGGCAGGCCGTCGCGGAGAACAAGAACCCCTGGGAAGTCAAGATCGACGCTCCCACACGCACCAAGGCTTCCGCCGCGTCGACACCCACTAGTAGGGGCGGCCGCACTCCTTCTACTGCTGCCTCTTCGAAGCGCAAGCGCGGCCCCAAGAAAGTGACCATGTCTGAGGAGGATACCGGTCTCGATAGTGCCGAAACCGACTATGATGCCAAGGATCTTCAATCGGACGACGACGATATCCTTCAGGTCACGCCCACGCCAAAACGCCGCAACGTCGGAGCTATCAACGGTGCCATCGCGAACAATGCCACTACTCCCGTTCCCGCTAAGAATAATAGCAATGTCGGCAGCGGTGGCAAGAATGTCTCGCGCTCACTCTTTGGAAACGGCACCAATTCAGCGCGCGCTCACAACGACGACGACGAGGTCCAGATCGTTGATCTGAGTGAGGATACACCCCCGCCTGCGCCTGCGCCGGCTCCCGCACCCGTAACGTCTACGCGTGCCCCCGTGGTGAAGGCTGACCCAGATTCGGATCTAGCGTCGGAAGAGAATAGTCCGACTCGAGAGCGCCATGGCAATCCTTACGCTGGTGGTAGCGCCATGTACGACGACGACGACGACTTTGCTGAGGGTGAGGTCTAAGTTGACGACACCACCATTAACGGCTACGGCCAAAAGTGCGAATACAGATATCGCACATGTTTCTAATGCCGCCTCTTCGTTTTGTACCCTCTCCGGCGAGTAATGGATTCTTCGGCGTTCGTTTTTTTTTCTCTCCCTTCTCTGCTTTTTATCTATCTATCGGTTCTGTCGACGTCCTTGCAAAGAGGTGATGAATGCGTAATATCTCATCATATTAGCATCTAGCCTCCCTTCGGCACAGTTTAATACAACGCCGTCGCATCGTTGTCTTTCCGTATTTACTGCGTTTCATTTATCAGTACCGGGATCGGGGGGGAAGGGACGGGAACAGAGAAAAAAAAAAGGGAAAGAAAAGAAAGGCAACGGAACGGTGGATTCGTATGCTTTTAGTTTGTTGCGGGGGCCGAGATTTCGTGCCTACTAAGTATCTAACCTACTTACCATCCGGAGGTTCATAGTTATGGGGGACGTTTGGATGATGGTCCAGGGGGGGATTAAGTCGAGACAACCACCTCACCACTCACTCACTCTATCTATACCAACATTTCGACTCATCTACATGGTAGTACCGAGTGTGCGATAGTTTCATGTTTGCATCTTGCTTTTCGGGTCTGCTATACAAGTTAGCCCTCATACGACATGGGTGGCCGGTCCCTTTTCTCAAGTTTGCGAATGAATTTTACGGACTGGACTGGTTTGTGCGAATGAATTACATAGGTAGATACCTAGGTATTAGTAGCCTAATCGAGGTACTTTTCTATCTAGACAGGCAGGCAGGCAGACTAATTGCTCTCGTCGCGAATGAACCGTCCCGCATAATTTCTTAGTTTTCCTCTTTCTTTTCTTTTCCTCTTTTTATTTTTTACCTTTCGGTATAGGTATAGGTACATACATATATTAGTACCTACCTGACTTAGGTAGGTTAGTCAAGTAACAACCGCCACAAGGCATCCCTATCCACAAAATCGTGATGGATGATATTGACGAGCCAGGAGTCGGCCTTGGCCTTCTCGAGAAGCTTCTCGGTGTCGGAGCCCTTGCCGTAGATCTGGGCCCACGCGCCGAAGATGCCGAAGGCCTCCTCGCTCCAGGCGCGGAAGCTGACCTCCTCGATGATGGTCGGGGTGACGATCTCCTTGCCGGGGAAGACGCCCCAGGTGACGGCGTTGGTGCTGGGCTCCTTGGCCTCGCCGGCCAGGCCGCCGGTGAGGTCCGACGAGACGAAGTCGCCCGCCGCGTTGGCCGCGTAGAAGCACACCGTGTCCTGGACCTCGGAGCTCTGGAGCTTCTCGAGCAGGACCCTCCACTCGGCCGACGGGATGAAGAACTCGACGAACGCCTTCTGGAACACGAACCCTTGCTGCGGGCCCCAGCCGAAGACCGGGTCCGACGACCGCAGCCCGTTGACCGCCGGCTGCGAGGCCACGGTCCACCAGCCCTTCCGGTTCAGCCGGACGAGCTCGTCGGCGATCATCTGCGTCTCCTCGTTGAATTCCTCCTCGCTCCACGGGATGGCCGAGAGCTCCTTCTTGAGATGTCGCACGAATAGGTCGTTGATATCTTCCCGTTTGGCGGGGTAGCCCCAAAGACCGACGGCTTGTGCGTGGGAGACGTGCAAGCTAGGCCCGTACCCGTCTATTTCACCGTATGCGGGTGATCGGGCATCACCCCATCGGCCGTTGGGGAAGTCGTCCCAAGTCGCTTCTCGGCCAAGCACTCCTTCACCCTCCGAGATCGCCAAGGTGTTAGCTCGACTATTGATCGGCTCCGCTGGTATGCTGGCTTCGGCCGAGGTAGCTTCGTATTCGGGATGGGATATCGGTCGTCCGGAGACGATGACGCGGTTACGGGTATCCGAGCTGACGTTCGATTGCCTTCTACTTCGGGAAACTTCCGGGAGAGGTTCGTGGTCTAGGGATCCGTTGACCTGGAGGGCCGGGATCTTGGATGTGATATCCTGGATGGCCTCTTCTTCGATAGGAGAGCTGAGGGGTATGAGGTCCGACCTTTCGATGATAAAGGACACGGCCTTTTCGAGATTTAAAGTGTAGAAATGGAACCCTCTAGGCCCAGGTGTCCTACTTTTGATCTCCTTGACCTTTTCGACGATCTCGCATAAGATGTCTACACCAACGCTTTTGACCTTCTCGTCGTCCATCTTCACGGCGTCTAACCGTGACATTATCGCGTCGGGTATTTTGGCATGACTGAGCTTCGTCGTCCGCTTGATCATTTGGTAACTCTGAATGGGCATCAACCCAGGGATGATAGGAATTGTCTTAAACGCGCCGCTGGGGTGGTCCCTCAGGGTTCGCTCAAAATCGTCGTAAGCATCCGTGTCGAAGAATAGCTGCGTCATGAGAAAATCGGCCCCAGCAAGGGTCTTGTCAACCAAGTAAGGCAGATCGTGTTCCAGACTCTGGCCCAAAGGATGGCTCTCGTCGGCATGGCCTTCGGGATATGCCGCGACACCGATACAGAAATAATCTCCATGAGTCTTCTTTATATACCGGACCAAATCAATAGCCCACTTAAAGGTTTCGTCTATAGCATCCTCAGGATTCTCATTGGGGTCTTGGTATTCGGCAGCCCGTGGAGGATCGCCTCTTAAGGCTAAGATGTTCCTGATACCTAATGCTTTCGCATCTTCCAACGCCCTGTCAATCAGTTTCCGGCTCATGTTCGTACACGTCAAATGTAGACATGTCGTCAAGTTCAATTCCCTCTGACATATCTCGGCGAGTTCGAGAGACTTGGTGGCAGTAGATCCGCCAGCACCCCATGTTACGTTTACGAATAAAGGTCGTAGCGCCCGTGCCATTCGATCGAGACGGTCGCGGAGGTTGGAAAAGCCCATAGCGGTCTTCGGAGGGAAGAACTCGAGCGAGAAGTAATTCGAGTCGGCCGGCAAAGCGGCTATCTTGTCCGTGATCTTCTCCATGTTTGAACGATTCCGTTTACCACGGTTCGTTGTAAACTGCAAGAGAGACTTTGAAAGCGTGAATATAGGGGTATGTCAAGTAGATAACCTCTTCCTTTTTTCTTCTTTCTTCTTCTTTTATAACTAGCCCCCGAAGCCCAGCTGAATTGGACTAACGATCGACACCAAGGGAAAGTCGAAAACACGTAGAGGGGGTTGGCCCAGTAGAGGCCGGATCGGCACGAAAAGGATTCAGTCAAAGGATATGTGAGTCCAAAATAAATAACTATAGTCGATATGCGATGAGAACTTTTTATACAGTATCTAACCCTGTCGTCCCGTAGATAGCAGGTTAGGTAAGGTAAGTCATATACTCTCTCCTCTTTATGTGACTCTCTTTTGCTTTGTGGAAATTTTACTAAGTAAAAGGTTCCGGTCGGCGAGGTCTGACATCGTTGTGGGGTACCTGCATAGAACCCCGCATTAACGGGACATGGTACCTAGATGTACCTAAAGTGGCAGAAAATCGGACAAATCTCTTACCTAATAAAGCTAAAGAAAGGAAGGTGACAGAGGGTCGGTTACCCAGGTACATTTCCACGTTTGGATTCATTTGGAATTTTGGATTGCTCTGGACCCCTGAATCTTCTTCTCGGAATTCTTCCTAAACCTCACTAGGCTATCTGCGTCCTTATCGAATTTATAATCCAAATGCCAGTTTACTCAATCATAGAGCGCCGTGCTATTGTAATACAATCAATCTTAAGGCACAATCACACCAAGTACTTTTTTAAGATCCCTACTTAAGATAAGAAAAACATAAGAGAACGGTATTTATTCATCCTTAATCCCTAAACCGTACACACACGCAGACATTGCTACGTAGACACCCATATTAATACTTTTCTTATCCTACTCTATCTTCGGCATCGTATATATTTCATCTTTAGAACATTTCAAAATTACCTAAGATACCTATTTATAAATCACAAGTATTACTTGTCAGAAGCCGTTGAGAATTGCTTTTTGTGGCGTCATGGATACCTCCAATCAGAATGTCGCCGACGCGATGCGACCGCCACCGAAAGACATGTCTCATCACTACTCCGACGTGACGAAGGCTAGAGCCCCAAGTAGAATGAAGGAATTCTATAAGTATTTTCAAATACCGAACATTGGACAACTAGCTGGTGGTACGAAACGCCTATCATCTTTATCTCATATTTATCCCATCTTTATCGTGTCGACAATGTCTGCGTGCCAAACTCTATTCTAGGGGGACTAACGTTGAACTTTGAAATGTCAGGTCTTCCTAACGCTACTCTTTTCCCCTTTGATACCTTAGAAGCTCAAACCGCGAGACCGGATCGATGGACCCCAACGCCTAACTATCCGGACCCTGATGGCAAGCTATCTTCCCGATTAGCCGCGACATCGATTTCAAATCCGGCCGTAGCCTCTCACGTCGTCGTGCCACACGATGCGCCTGCCTCGGATCCGAGGAAGAAGATAGATCTGGCTACAGCCTTACAATACGGCCAAGCTGATGGATATCCGCCTTTACTTTCCTTCATTCGCGAATTCGCGCGGGATTACTTACATCCAAATGTACCCTACAGGGGTGGGCCAGAGGTCATCTTCACAGTCGGCTCATCAGATGGCATGTTTAAGACATTGGAGGTATTCACCAACGTCTGGGTAGAAGGGAAAAACGACATCCGAGAACGACCGGGCTTGTTATGCGAAGTTTTCATGTACGCCAATGTACTAACCCAAGCACAACCCCGAGGAATCCAACCCGTGCCCATCGAAATGGATGAAGGGGGTATGTTGCCGTATGGTCCTGGAAGTTTGGACGATGTCCTTTCGAACTGGGATCACAGCAAAGGAAAACGGCCACACTTGCTGTACACTGTAACGTGAGTTTTTCCCTCTTCAATTCTTCATATCGTCATGATCAGCCTACTCCGGAAGATCCGCATCGTACTAAACGTAGTCCTACAGAATGGGTCATAACCCCACAAGTGGTGTTCTTTCTCTCGAGAGAAGGAAAGAATTATACTCGGTCTGCAGCAAATACGATGTCATTATCGTCGAGGATGACCCCTACTGGTACCTCCAGTTCCCTTCAGCAGCAGTCGAGGAAGCGAAGGCGAGGAATTTGCCGATTCCCGAACCCCAAATAGCGAATACCCTCGAAAGGAAATCCGGGTACGAATACTTGGATTCTCTTGCGCCATCATTCCTTAATATCGATGTGGACGGACGAGTTGTGAGATTGGATACTTTCTCCAAGACCGTGGCTCCGGGATGCCGAATGGGATGGATCACCTCGACCCCGTCGATTTGCGAGCGCATTCTTCGCGTCAGCGAGTCGGGCACGCAGCAGCCGTCCGGTTTCGCCCAGGTTGTTATCGCCGAGACTATCATGGGGTCGCAGCCTGAGGCGTCGGTAGCATTCGCGGCTCGATCCGTGAAGGATCGGGCTACTTTCAGCGGGTGGAAGATGGACGGCTGGGTGCGATGGCTCGCTGGGCTGCGAGGCCAGTACGAGAGACGCATGAACAGGATGTGCAGGATCCTCGAGGAGAATGCGTATCAGCTCAAGCAGTCGACGCCGATGCGTGGGTCGGACTCCGATTGGGGCGTCATCACCAAGACCCAGCTGTATGACTTCAAATGGCCCCGCGGCGGCATGTTCCTCTGGCTGCACATGCGCTTCGAGACGCATCCGCTCTGGAAAGCCGCTGGGTCCCGCGGCAACCTCGTGGACGGCACCGCGCTGTCGACCGCCCTCATGGTCTTCCTTACCCGCAAGCCCTACCTCGTCCTCGTCAGCCCCGGCCTCATGTTCAGCGCCACTGACAAGATCCGCAAAGAGCGCGGGTGGGCCTATTACCGCCTGTGCTTCGCCGCCGAGTCCGAGGAGAACATCGACAGATGCTCCCTGCGCTTCGGCGAGGGCGTCCAGAAGTTCTGGCGCATCAAGAACGTCAAGGAACTAGAGGCGCTACTGGAAGAATCCAGTGCTGCGCAGACCCAGGACGACGAGGCGCAGCTGGTGAATCTGGGGGGTTGGATGGGATGCTAAGTAAGTAAGGGATGCAAGATGTTAGTAAGGATATATTGGAACATATGTTGAAATACATACTATGTACGTGAGAGGCCTGAGTGAGCGAGCGAGAGTACATATGAAAGATACGTGTACTATATACTCACGAGGTTGGACTATGCTATATCCTCATGTGCGAACTTAGGCACAAACACATATATCTTCACATATGTATATCAACAAACCACAAAGCTCTAGAATTATAAAGCTATACATACCATTATAAGAATAGTAGAAGAAGAATAAACCAAGCAAATTGGGACCGAACAATATTGTGCTTAGTTCGCATGTCGTTCGGGTACATATTTTCCTTTTCACATAGCAGATAGAAATGTCAATATAAAACGAAATGAACGCCTGGATTTACTTTACAATAGTAATACTAATAATAGCCTTATGAGAATCGAGTTTTAACTAGCACACAGATAGGACTGATTTGGGCGGTTTCACGAAGACGTTGGCGCGTTATAAGGAAAAGGGGTAGGTAGGTAAATTGGCACGTGAATTTATAAAACATTAAAAAATGGAAATTTAGACTATCTTGGAGGACTTATTACGATACAATGCATAGACAATTCACCGATGAGATGGGGAAGTGGCGATCAGAATAAGAATGTCATTGATTGATTTCATCAGACCCTATGATCCAGTACGCCGTGACTATTTGCAACCGATTTACCGTTTTCCCCCTCCTTTCCTCTAGACTACGCTGCTCACCAAGCTAGTCTACTCTAGACCTCGCGCAGGAGGTCAAGGAAAACCTTAGGAGGCTTGGGGGGCTTGCCCTCTTCCGCCTTTTGCTGGCCAACCTTGTTCTTCACGAAGGTAGCGTAGTAGGGGTTGAAGCGCAGCATGACTTGCTTGTTGCGAAGAGGGTTCTTCTGGACGGCAGCGCGCTTGGTAAGAGGACCACCCTTAGGAGCGTTGAGGACGCTCTGGATTTCAGAGCTGTTGATCAGACGGCTCAGGTCGGACTGGGCAACCAAGTTGGAAGGTAGAAGGAAGTCCTTCTTAAGCTCGGAAGGCTTGGTGGTGGTGCCGTAGATCTTGTCGAGGGCCTTGAAGGCAGCTGAGGTCCAGACGATGAATCGTCCGAGGTGACCACCAGGGGCAAGCTGGAGGAGGTTCAGGGCGTAAACGGAGCTGGTCTCGACACCAGGAAGGTTGCGGGTACCAGTGACAAGCTCCTTGCCGTCGACCTCGGGGTCGTAGATGATCAAAGGTCCACGTCGCTGGCGGTGACGGCGGCCTCGCAGCTTACCCTTACCAGCACGTAGCTTCTTCGACTTCTTGGCCTTCTCGACGTCGGCAGCGGCACCAACAGCGTTCAGGATGGCGAGAGCACCAGCGGTCTTGGCAGCAGCACCGCCCTCGAAAGCAGCCGAGTCAACGACGAGAGGGACTTCTGGAACGGAAGAGATCTGGTGGCCGCGGGCGAGTAGTAGAGGGGGGACAGCGGAAGCGGCAAGAGCAGAGGCAGTAGCGAATCGCCTTTTCGAGAGTTAGTTGGTATACTCCAGAGGCAAAATCAAAATCCTGGTATCAACTCACTTCTGGCCCTGGTTGATCTTGATGTGCCACTTTCGCCAGATCTTGGTAGGGGCGAACATGCGACCGGAACGGCACATGTTACCGAAGGCAGCCTGACCAGCACGGTGGGTACCACCACCAGAGACACGGGGGATACGAGCGACGGCACGACCTATGGAATAATATTGTTAGTAAAGTCGAAGATTTATTATCTCCAGACCAATATTCCGGCGTTGAGTGAGCATTATCAAAAATATCCACGATAGAAATTTCCAACCTCCTCTTCCCTGACGCCCAACTAATAAAAAAAATAACACGAAAACTACTGACCAGTTCCCCAAGATTCGGCAGAGGTTTGGTGACCGGCCTTCTCGCTCACAGCATAGGGCTGTCGCTTGTTCTTGGCCATTCCAGTGTGGACTTGCTGGACGATATCAGGTCGGATCGGGGAGGAAAAGACGGTAGGAATGGTATGGGTAGCTCCCGAGGGAGAACCATCCTTGCCGATGATGGTGACAGTCGGTCGAGAGGCCATCGTGAAGGTCGTAATGCTGGAGAATTGGTCTGATTAGTCAATTGAAAACATAACAGCTGAATTAAGATGGAATCGAGAAGGAGAACAAAAATGAAAATAGCGGGAGAGAGACTAACTTGCGCTGAACTTACCTCGACGCTGGGTGTTGATGGTCTCAGGTTGCGATTTGGTGATGTTGAACTGCGAAAAATCAAAAAGCCCACCACCGAATTAATTTTCTTGTGGGTTTGCGCGAGGGCTAAGCGAATTTTTCGGGGGGGGAAATTGACCCACTTTCCCACCTACTAGCTCCTTTAAATGCATTATGCATCTAAGTAGTAAAGCAAATTCAGAATTACCCCGCTATTTGCACTGTGCTACTGTACGCCTGAGCTCTAATTCAAGATAACCTCTATTTTCTTGAACTTCGCATGATCTACAAGATGCTATAACAAAAATTTGAATTTAAAGTTATACTCCCGCTGCACACCGAGATTGGAATGCCGATATCCTATCAACTTTCTTTGTACGGAATACCGTGGGTGTAATTTTAAGAGGCTTAATAGGGTGTTTTATGAGTTTGATAGGACTAGTACGGCGTACATGTCATATTCTTATTTGAAATATTCATACAAGCAGCCTTCATACATCAAGTGACAGTATCTCGCTCGATCAAAGTTCCTTGCTCTATGCGATATATGATATATACTAAGCAGTTTTCGATTGGGATGGAAAGGGAAAAAATTATAAAATTTAACATCCGTGAATTGAAAGAAGGGAAAGAAAAAGAAAAGGCAAAAGTAATCTCCGAATCGGGGAATCGAACCCCGGGCTTGACGGTTCTTGTGATAATGAAATCTTTTGAGAGCGTCAAATGTTAGCCACTACACCAATTCGGATTGTTAACAAACGTACTAGAAATTTTGCTATATATCTTAGACCTTTCCTTGCGGAAGAATTGAGGTTCCCAACTCAAGCTTCTTTTAGGTAATCTTTGCGTCACTTATTCTATATTGGCACTGAAATAATGAGCATTGAAAATACATAGGTGGGTCTTGGAAATTACATAAATACTTTATCAATAAAGCTTTCAACAGGGCAGTCAAGTTTACTAGGTATGTCAGTACATATTGAATTTTGGTTATTTGATCCAGGTCGCGTTTGTTCTACCCCTTTACCCGTATCACGTGCGATATCACGGGACGATAACCATGGAAAAAGCAAGAATATGACAGCTCTTATACCAGGTACCCAGCTACAGCACCAACACCCTTAGTTTTAACCCTTCGTAAACTCGGGGCATCACGATGGAAACAACAGTCGGTTGGTTCTATTGCCTTAGGATTATATCTTGGTAACTATTCCATACGCGTTTTACAGGGGTCATTTGTTATTGTAACTGACAGGTACTACTACAACATTGACTTAAAAATAGGCGCATCGCTTGACTTTGTGCATACCATAAGCCTAGAAGCTGAGTTCACGGATGAGAGCGTGGGGGACCGTCGCGGTGCCATTTCCCCTATCTGGACAACGAATACCTATACTACCACATCTATCGTATCATATTTCATAAAAGCCTCGTATGAGTAGAATTCAGCTTTATAATTGCCTTGATAATATTCGTCGGACCGAGTTGTTGGCTTTGATCAGACGACATGCACCAAGATACCAAAGAAAGTTATAAGTTGAAATAGCGCCGAACTAGTGTAGACTCGAGAGTCACGGATGTTGGTGGAGTACACACCTGGCCTGGATCTTTTTCGTGGTACCTTGTTACAATGCGTACAGGCTGACAGGAAATACCAAGGTCAAGGATCTCCAAGATTACTGGCTTATTACCTGCAGTGCTTTCCCGAGCCGCTGACGAGCCGCTGCTGATCTTTCTTCATGATGCCCGTTCTTTTCACGTCGCCTTGAGCATCGGAGCAAAAAAAACAAATCTTAACATTTCTTGTTTCTGTCCACATTCGATAGCGCTTAAGCTAATTGTATTGTGTACAACAGGCCGGCTTTAGGTCTTACGATTTAGTATCAGCAACTAGAGCACAAGATACCTCATTGGATCGTTGAGCACTTCTGTTTTCATTCATACCAACCCAGTGAGATATATGTATATAATCTCACCAACATTATGCATGTACTATGACAAGATGAACGGCTCAGGCCAACTCTAAACTCCAAACTCCAGAGTCCGACGGCCCAACAGCCCGGTCAGTGTCATCATAATAACTAGTATATGTATGGATCGCTATATACGTCGTATGACACCTGTCGACATTTGCCTGGGTAGCGCCGAGGACCGCTATTTTGAATCCGTTAAGAGTAAGATTCTATCAAACCTACCCTTATGTTGAACTCAGCTATAACAAGCTAGAGATGTTGTGCATCCGAGTCAGACTGCGTATCATTCAAAGGTTACTGCCTATTATACTAATACGGAAGGTTCCCCGTCTTGGTGGCTTACGAAAATGAACTCTCAGCTATTCTGGAGTGGTCGATTAAACGCGAAACTGGTCGAATGACTCTAGGTTAGGTTAGGTACTCAGCCCTCGAACCAACAAGAATAGTTGCATAGATTTAGGTAACGGTGTATGGTCCCTCCACTAATATTTCGATGGCAACGCCCAACGTGTTTACAGGACTCTTTCTATTCCTTGGAGCCGGCTAATTCCTGGGGCTCACGATGCGAAATGTCCGTTCGATATTTCTCCAAAACTTAGGCTTCCCTAGCCCGTCCTAATATGAGTCTTACATCTCAAGCTTTGAAGGGTCAACATGTCGGATGTGTGCATCCGTTTAGTTTACGAATGGATATGTTAGTCTAATCGTTTAGCTTATTTACAAGCTGGAATTATCTCCTGGGACAATGGCGAACCAATACGCTTTTGACCGGTATCCGAAGTTGCATTGCATTGGGTACCACCACTGCAAGGGCTCGTATTGTGTGGCTGCAGGGGACTTGGAGCTGTCAGTCTTCGGCGGCTCGCCCTCCTATCTCGCAGAAATTACCCAAAGATTACCAGGCACGAGGCGATTGTCGAGACGACGGTAAATACCATAATAAAGATGCTGAGATATCTCCCATATCGGTATCATTCCTCGTCATGGATCTTGGGTCCGACTCTCCGTCATCACTTTTTATATCGACTCGGATGCCCGTCGGCTGAGAGAACGTCGTTGTCCGGAGACAGTCTCGTTGTCGAAGAAATTGTCCTTAGCTTCACTGTCCAACAATTTATACCTTCAATTTTGATATACCATACGGCCTTCACTTCGTTTAATCATGTCTTGGAGCAGTATGGTTTGGTGGATAGTGTTGCTGTGTGTCCTCGTAATAGCAGATCCTACCTGGCCGTCCCCTAACGACGAACTTGAAGAGATTATGTATCAAGTCAAAGGATATAAAGCCACGAATTTTGGTGGGACCGTTATCCCGTGCTCTAATGAAGCTTCTGGACCCGGTCGACAGAATGCTGCAGAATGGCTGAGGGCGGCGTTTCATGATATGGCTACGACTACACATCTGAATGGCATACGAGCTGGCGGCTTAGATGGCTCCTTGCAGTACGAGTTAACCAGCTCAGATAATATCGGCCCAGGTTTCAACTCGACTCTCAAGTTCATGGCCGACTACTACACGAGTCGGTCGAGTGTGGCAGATCTCATTGCGCTAGGCGTATACTACGCCGTCAGGTCTTGCGGTGGCCCGGTGGTGCCTGTTGCAGGTGGAAGAGTCGATGCCCTTGCTGCTGGTCCCATAGGCGTTCCGCTACCACAGAATACTGCTTTCACATTTGAGCAGCAATTTTCACGAATGGGATTTAGCAAGACTGAGATGATCCAAGTCACCGCCTGTGGCCATTCTATCGGTGGTGTTCACGAGAACGAGTTTCCTGCAATTGTCCCCGCCGGATCTACCCCAAATGGCGAGGCCCCTTTGGACTCGACTGTTGCACAATTCGATAACAAGATTGCCACGGAGTACATTGCTGGTAACACTACCAATCCCCTAGTGGTTGGTCCATCGGTCAAGGCTACTAGAAACTCGGATTACAAGGTGTTCAACTACGATGGTAACGTGACAATTAAAGCACTGGCTGATGCCGCTGAGTTCAGTAACATATGTGCAACTGTTCTTCAAAAGCTGATTGACACTGTGCCTGACGGGGTGATTTTGTCTGATCCTATCAAACCATATTCTGTAAAGCCAGTTGATATGCAGTTGAAGCTCAACTCCGACTCCTCAACAATGCAATTGACTGGATATATACGGGTTCGAACCACTGAAATAGGGGGCGATTCTGTTTCCAGCTTAACACTGAACTATAAAGATCGAAGCGGCGGCAACAACTGTGGCAACACGACTTGTACATACACGACGACTCTCCTGGGTTCCACCCAGGGTTTCGATGATCAGTTTATTGTAAGTACTTCACACAGCGTTTTTTATATTCCCTTCTTATATTCCTAACCTCGGTCTAAAATGATTCAGTGGTTCCCTATAAATACCGCCATTCCAACTTCCACGGGAATCTCATCTTTCACCATTACCCTTAATATGGTTGACGGCACCACTAAATTGTACGATAACAATGGAAACGCATATACGATGCAAGATGCCATCTTCATTCAAAAACCTCAAAGTTGCCTCCTTTCGGGCACACTCACCGTTACCGCAGCTGTAAGTTAATCTTTAAGCTCTTGGCTGTGGCTAGTTCTTCTAGGCACTGACCTTTTCCCTCTAGGTTCGCAATGACCGGACATTGCTTCCTGTTAATATGTTGATCTCATACAAGACCCCAACGGGGGATCCTAATCGCCCGGTTCCCACCCTGAAAAGCGCCGCGACTATCATGACAAACAGCACTTGCATAGGCTCATATACCTTGTATACAGCAACTTATACTGGCCTTGGCGATCTTGCTTACGCATCAAAGATCGATGTCATTAGCGGGAGCGATTCATCTGCTCTTGTAGACGGATTCAACGCGGCAAGCGAATTAGAAGCAACATGCCGATCCTTCCAGAACCCGCCAACTTCTACATGTAATATCGTATAGGTTTTAACCTCTTCTGGACCGTCAACTGCCTCGTTTATTTCTGATTTATTGTCGACCAAGTTACAAAGACGTCGGAAAGCTGTACCTAAAGTTTTATGTTTAGAATGTGTATATGAAGTTTAGCTGCGGGAGTATCGGGCGGTCGCATAGATACCTGTTATTTAGCATACAAACGGCATCGTGAGCGGACAGTTTTTGATCACACACTCAAGTACCTACCTGGTACGTACATTGAGGCGATACAGGTATAAGAGAATCAAAGTCAAGGAATCTTTATTTATTACCTGGTAACACCTAGGTATTATTATAAGAGTCTAGCTTTCAGAAGCGAGCATTACAATGATTTAGATAGACTTAATAGGTATACTAGAAATACTAGTAACCTAAAATGATATGAAACATGCTACGGTTGAAGAGACGATGTTTTATTCTTACAGGGAGATTTAGTTCAGGTACAATACTTGTGCAGCCCAGTACTTACTTCTCTAACCTGGATACCCCTGGCTGGTTTGTCGGGTTTAGTGGTGAGTCGTAGGCTTGTAGCACGTCATTAGCGTAAAATTGCAATGAGTTTAATGCAAGGCTGTAGGTGAGCCAAGGTACAGTGCGCAATTGATATGCACAGTGATAGCTAAATTCTCAAATATTGGCAGCCGCAGCTCCTGCAGACATCCAACTTGGACTTATTCCATTCGGATGGATCTTTGGTTGCATGTAAGGAAGGCGTGGATCATGAATCATATGCGCAGATAACGTACTAACCAATATTTCCCCCACCACTACCCTGCGCTTTTCTAGAGTGCTGAACCTGAAGCCTAGGTACCTCATACCTCTACCACCTACCTTACCTACAATATTGGAATACAATCTTGGAAATCGCACATTCACTAGGCCGACACCCATAGTTTTTCATGATCATTATCTCTTGCAGCTTTCTTCTGCAGAGGCTCTTATCGTAGACTTAGCTTCTCGTATTGCGATTGCGAGCGATATTTCAAGTCCACCGGGGTTTTTATCTTATTTTATTTTTTTAAATGATCCTGCGATAAACTTTTGTAACTCTCAACACTTTTCTGCTTTTTTAAAAAAAAGCGATGCCTATTTGCATCGACCGCATCCTATTAGCGTATCTATATGCTACGAAAACGAGGGTCTAGAGTCAAGCATGTCGACTGGTACGTCTTTGATAGCCGCTTCTTCTCACAAACAGCCCTTTGTTAAAACTTGCCGACTCCCAAATCGCAGGGGCACGCCCTCCACGAATCCAACCTCACCTGACATTCTTTCCGAGATCGCCGGGGAGGTTCGAAAGTCTGAATAGCGACCGACCTAAGTTGAACTAAGCCATAACCTTTTTTTTTCGATACGGGGTCCTGCAACATGCCTGCTTTTTCGGTATGTGCTTGAGGCAGATGTAACTATTAGGATAGATCCTAATTCTCGCGATAGGGGAAATTAAACTCTCTGAGTGGTTTTAAACCTATGAACAATCTTAATGGCAGCAAGCAGAACCCTTCTCGTCCTGTACGATCGTCGCCCATACATCACCGTCCACCCTCGCCGCTAGCGCCGTCACCAAAACGCCAGAAGGTCGAAGAGTCTAACGCACACACTCAAGCTCAATTCGTTCTTATACCCGAACATGACGAGATAGCGGCCCGATCGGTTCCGCGCAAACGTTCTTTTGATAACCACAGCGATTCCCAACAGACCTTTATATCACAATCATCCGCCAAAGGAGTCCAGTCGACTCGCGCGGTCGTCCCTGAACTTCGAGTCTTGGACAGTTTCACAAGGCCGCAACCTAAGAACCGGCCTCGATATACCACTCCAAAGCGCCATGTAGGGCAACTGGGTAGAGAGGTTGGCGCCGGGACTTCTTTTGTCGGATCTGATAACGAAGACAGCGATGGAGATGTGGAGATTGTGGCCCCTGGTGCCATGCCAACTCCTCAAACGCACCAACCTTCAGAGGTCCGACACTCTATCGAAGCAGTTGGGAAGCGCTTCAAGACAACATCTGGTGCTCAGAGGCTCGAGGATATCATTGATAATACGATGCTGAACGAGAATGGGTCTATAAGCCTGGTTTCTAGCCCAGATGAACTGGCACCAAAAACACAAGATATAAAAGAAAAAATGCCAGCGAAGCGTCCTGCTCCTTCCCCGAGCTTGTCTAAAAGAGCTGATATTCCACGAACCAAGTTCACCCAGCCGTCTGGTACTAGACTCCAGGCTCCAGGGAGAGGGCTTAACGATTTGGATCGTGCTATGAAAATCATTCACTCGCCGCTTCTCGTTGTCCAGGCCGTATCGGGTGGCCAGCAATATGAAGCAGATAAAAAGAACAATACAGACAAATGCTTCTTAAATTTACGCGAGATGAGCCATATCCTTCATCCGGTGGATTCTGAAGGCCAGCTCATGAAAGCGTATGCATACCTTACGGTCAATTTGCACAAGGTTCAAAAGATCCGTGCCCTACCACGAACCAATTGCCTCATTGCCTCGGTTCAGCGTCCTATTGACGGTTCAATAAGTGGTGGTCAAAAGCTAATAATAAAATTCTCGTCTCCTGCGGACCTAGAAGCGTTTGTTAATTGGGCAAGAATGAATAAAAGAGATGCTGAGAAATTGGATTTAGTGGATGAGTCTACGTCTCAGTATGTTCTGCTAACCAACTATCTAAGAATATCGCTAATGTTATTCGTAGGGACCGCCTTGAGAGGGAACTTGACAACTTGATGCTACTGGCGGGTAACCGTACTGTTTCTAGAGACAACGAGTCGAGAGGAGATGATATGAAGTTGATCGAGCACAACCTAGCAAATGCAAGACAGGCGAGGACGACAAACCCGCCACATGTCTTACCCCGCTCGGAGAAGTTGAAGGACGCGATGAGGCATTCTTTTCCTTCTCTATCGAACCCTCAAGTAACGGTCTTACCAGAGGATGCCCAGCCTCACAACATTTCGCGGCAAGTACGCCTAACCCGTTCGACGTTCGCAGTCGAAAGCTCTAGCTCTCGATCTGAGTCTCCAGAGCCTGAAGGTTGGACAACTCAACATGTAGGATGGGAGAAAAATTGGCGTAATTCTCTCGTATTTCCTCCTCACGGCAAAGGCAGAGCTACCGTCGACAAGGACGATATTCCACGGTTGGACGAGGGCCAGTTCTTAAACGATAATTTGATCATCTTTTATCTGCGTTATCTCCAACATACGTTGGAAGCACAAAGGCCAGATCTTGCTGAAAGAATCTATTTCCAGAACACCTATTTCTATGAGAAACTGAAGTCAGCAAAGTCGACGACTCAGAGTATCAACTATGATAGTGTCAAAGCGTGGACGTCTAAAGTCGACTTGTTTACGAAAGATTATATTATCGTGCCGATTAATGAATACAGTCATTGGTACGTTGCGATCATCTACAACGCACCAAAACTGGTCCCATCTCCAGACAAGACAGAGGGCACCAGTGCTCGCCCTAAGAACACGATCACTATCGAGGAGGATGTCGAAGATTCCAGAGAAGTTTCCCGCGGGGCATCCAGCGCTTCATCTGATAGTGCGAAATCAGACGAACCCACAAGCTCTGAATCAGTAAAGTCTATAGCGCAGAGCGATGTCACGAATCATTTTAGCCGTATGTCCATCGAAGGCCCGGGTTTTTCTAGTAGTATCACTAAACAGACAATAGTCCCGGACACCGAAGGTCGAAATGCAGAGATACAACTGATTGGTTATAAGCAGGACGGAGCCGCAGAAATGCAGCACAGTGATGTCAAGGGAGATGTGGAGCATATCGAACCGTCGAACGACCATCTTCAGCGGAAGAAGACAGCGAAAGGATACGGCACGGGTACTAGGAAGCATAATCCGGACCAGCCAAAAATCATCACGCTCGATTCATTAGGATTGGCCCATTCTCCAGCTTGCAGCTGTCTTAAACAATATTTAATTGCAGAGCTCAAGGATAAGAGAGGCATCGAAATACCAAATCCTGGAGCTTTGGGTATGACTGCTAAGGATGTCCCTCAGCAAACAAACCACTGCGATTGCGGGCTATATCTGTTAGGATATATAACGGAGTTCCTCAAAGATCCCGATGGCTTCGTTCGTAACATACTGTCGCACCAGGCCATTGACTGGAACCTAAATCCATCAGAACTCCGAAACAATATTAGAGACCTGATTTTCGATCTTCAAAAGGAACAGCAATGTCGAGAAGATCTTCATAAGGAAGAAAAGCGCAACAAAGCTATTTTGTTGAAAAGGAGAGCCAGGGGCTCCATAGATGAACGACCTCTCAAACAACCATTGAAGGAGCAGATTACATGTCGAGACGTGCCTGAGCCCTTGGAAAAGGACGATATCCACAAGGAGATCGATGTGGTCCAACCGAAGCCAAAATTGACTACTCCCGAGGCCTCTACGGAAACTAGACCCATTTCTAATTCGGAGAATCGGCCCATTCCTGGTTCATATCCTCGGTCTCCAGCCGTAGCGAGTGCTAGTGTTACTGCATCTAACGAAAACAACACCGAACGAACTAAGACTCCGAAGTTTGTCTCGCCACTGCCTGAATCATCCCGTGGTTCTTCACCGACAAGACCCATGGTGGTTGATGATTCAGAGGTCCTCCAGGTACAGACAGAGAATGCCAAACACATTCATGATGATTCTAAACGAACCAACTTGCCAGAAAAACCAGCCAGAGAAATGCATGGGCCCTGCCATGATCACGATAAGCCAGTTGATCAAACGCGAAAGCAAGAGGATATATTAACACATAGTCCTTATTTCGCTGGCCGGCAACCCGGCGATAAGATGGCCTCGGCCAAATTACGTGAAGAGCCGGTTCACTCGGATATCATTGATATTTCTGATTAAATTCTACTAGGTAAGTATCACAGTAGGACGTCGGAAGTCGAGAAGAAAAAAACAGATAAGAGGTATGGGGTTTATTTCACCAAGGAGCATGGAGAAGCATTATTGTGACTTTGATACATGTCTGCATAGGAGCGGCGTTAGGTTAGGGAGGCGGTCATGTTTGAAAAGTTAGCACCTGTATACCCCTTGTGGAGAGCGATTCTGGCTTTGCTCCGCGAATCCGGGGCGTTACGTAGGGTGGTCAATGGCTAAAAACGTTGACCTTTACTTTTGACCTGATTTTGGCATTCGTAGACTCAGCGTTTGTTGTGTTTCCATGTTTCATTGTTATCCAGCGTTGTTGTAGCGTTGTCGCGTAGTCTCCGAAGGGTAACTTACGATTGACTATGGGTTCTGAGCGATGTAGTTATAGCGACCGGATGAACAGTCTGCCGCTCGAACTGGGATTCACCCGTAAGTACTCCTTACAAGTACATTCCACATATGTTTTTACCTACCTTAGTACTTTCGGCGATGCTTTATTGAGACATTTCAGATACTTTAGGTACCTAGGTACTGTCCTTATAGGTGAAGATAGCATCGCCAACCCCTCGAGTTGACATCGATCTACCTTTTGGTAGTGTAGCGGTTTGATAGCTACCTATCTTCCGAACTCTTACACCTACCTAGGTATCTACTTCAAGGCATTCGTTCTCAGGGCTCCAGAGTATGCATCTCTTACATCGGCGTGTTAGAATAGAAGTGGGAAATTCAACGACTTCGTAGGAGCTCTTAAGATCCCGAGTCCATTGGAGCGCCAGCAGGGATATCATACATAACAAGTAGATCTTTTTTTTCCTCATTCATGCATTAATTTAGGTACATTTTAGGTTACGTACTTTCCAACACCCATTAGACCATTTCCTTGCGAAAAGATCAGACTCAGACTCAGACTCAGACTCAGATTTGCCGGGCCTTGGCCTTGGTCTTGGTCGTCGTCTCGCCGTCCTTCTTCTTGAGGGCGGGCAGGGCGAAGGCGGCGCTGACGCCGTCGGCCATCTTCTTCCAGAGGCCGAGGTCGGCGTCCTGCCGGCTCCAGGTGAGCGCGCCGACCCAGGGCTGGACGTGGTAGTGCACGCGCAGGACGACGTCGGGCGCGGACGCGATCTGGCCCGACGGGTGTGTGATCTGGTACTTGGGCTTCTGGTTCTTGAGGGAGAGCTTGCCTCTGGAAAGGTTTCCCCGGGGAAAAAAAGGGGGGGAGCTGTTAGTTGACATTTGCGGTTTTGCTGGGGGAGGGGGGAGTAAGGGAAGAGAAGAGGGGGATCGTACCGGCTCGGATCTATCGTCTTGCCCGCGGCGCTCTTGCGCAGCTTCTTGAGCGCCGCGGGTCCCAGGTTGCTCAGGTGGTCGGCGCTCGGGCTCGTGATGATGGAGTCCCAGATGACGGCCTTGTTGGTCTGGTTCGCGGCGCTACCCACATCGGGCCACTCGGCCGTTACGTACACGAACAGCTGCTTGGTGTTCCAGGTGAACAGGGACGAGAAGTCGGCGTTTAGCGAGAACCTGATGATGGCGTATTCTTCCTTCTTGGTGCTGTAGTAGTGCGGTCGGCCTTTAACCCTATTGGATTTATTTTGGTTCCTGTTAGCTAGAGTTGGGAGCGATGGGGGTGGAGTAAAAGGAGCAAGTATTCGGCCCGCTTACACCTGGACGTTGGTAGGTTTTATCGTCGCGCTCGGGGTCCGGGGCGCGGCGAAGTCGGAGGCGGCGATTAGGGCGGTGACGACGAATGCGACGGTGGTGAAGAAGCCGAATACATTTTGTATTCGGGTTATGGAGTTGTACATGATGACGGGGACGATGGGGGGGAGAGGAGGAGGGGAGGGAATAAGAATTGAGGATGAATAGTAAGAATATTTGACCGACTCGCGGTTTGTCGGTTGTCAGTCGCCGGTCCTTATCGTTGCTCACATCTATAAGATCTATAGATGTGAGACAAGACGGGATCTAATAGGTACAAGATGTGAGGCCACGTATTGCACGTCAGCACGTTCTATGAGCTTTAAAGGTCTATTATCGATAATTGCTTATCGGTATCGGTATCGGCATCTTATCAGTTATGCAGAGTCTAGACTCCAGACTCCAGACTCCATAAGGTACTCCACCAGAACAGCCTAGCCTGTGTGTCACTTCTTGGCATCTCGATTTCATTGTGTGTCATGCTCTCCCCTATTTGAATTATTCGTTCTCATGTATAAGTTAGCCAAAGACATTTCTATATACTCGGCAATATACAATATATTGCAACAGAAATTTCTCACAAGTTGAGAAGCTCCGAGATCGAGGGTTCTGAGCTGCTAGCAAGCAAAACCCCCTCTAAGGTGGTGAAACGAACCTAATGCAGAAATGTGCGAATAGATTAATAGTTGCAGCAAGGCGGACTTGTAGTGAGGAGAATATTCGCAGATAGAAGCGGCTTACTTTGAAGGTATGCCTGCTTCTGTTGTGGTCTAGAGCTCACCCTTGAAAGAGAGTATGGGATAGTAGGCGCAGAGGTGGAGACTTCACTGAGGCGTAGCGAAGTCCAGTGGATTCATATTATTGTCTGGACCATCAATGGGATATGCTACTTGGTTGTTATACACCGTACTTAACTCTGTTACATTTCACGGCTGATGATAGGATATTTGGAGTCCTCGTTGTTGTGAAGTCAGATTATCGTCTTGCTGTAGGACTTCTTATAAATAGGTAGCTTTAGAGTCATAATTAGAAAAGGTTTAAAATACCTACAACATTCTGCTTTCAAATGTAATCAATGGCAACTTGAACTTCGTCATATGTTAATGCTCATCTTTACTCCGAATACCTAAACGTCCATCTTCGAGGTTTATAAATCGATTTAGAATCACAATTTCTAAAAGCATAGTCCTATCCGCATTGGAGGAATGACTTATAAGATGTCGAACGAAAGGCACAATATTACACTCACAATGCGGTTACGATCCATCCTCTCTCACGTAGCCTCCTTATTGGGACGCACCGCCATGAATATTGTTACTCTTCCCTACTATCGGTCCTTTCGTCTGAATACGCTCCAACCAATCCTTACCATAGCGGACAGTGCAAGGATCAGGAATAATGATGCTGAGGTTGCCGAGTTGCTGTCAAGCTGGAAAGATCGCAAACAAAACGAACTCTATTCAGTTCTGATGGCTGTAAGCTCTCCTTTTTTCCTATTCACTAATACCTACCTCCTTATTTTGGTACAATATACAAACTGATACAAGGCTACGCTGCTCTCTGCAGCTGTTGTAGGATGCTGCTCTTGGGAGGCTCGCCAGGGTGAACACTGGATAGTCCCCGCGGCATGGCATAGCTCGCTGGTTCTGTCCTTTTTCGCAATCTTGCTCTCGGGATCGGAGTCTTTCGTTTTCGCCTCACTTGCCTACAAGACGCGGCCGTTTGTCTTCGAGCGCGACCTCTCGATAATCTGCCACGTTGTTAGGAACAGCGGCTCACTACAATCGGAGAACGCGCTCGTGCACACCCCAGGTAGCATCTCCAGCATCTCCAGCATCTCCAGCAGCTCGGGGGGATGGGTAGATCGTGACTTGGAGGAAGGGAGAAAGCAGCTGCCAAGGAGCAGAACATCGTATTTCCCCGATATGGATGCTGTCGATGAAGATGTCGAGATCCGCATACGGTGGAATATGGTGTTCACGTGGCAAGCGCCCATCATGCTTTTTGTATATGCTGCCATTGCGTTCATCGTGGGCTTAACGGCGTATGTCTGCGTACCCCTATATAGCGAGGGCCCGTATAGAAGAGAAGTAAGTTGCATTTTACTGCCCTAAATCTCCAATATACATATCCCTCTCTCGAAACTCAATTCGATATCTAATGCCATTTTCTGACATCCATATAGCCGGCCATAGTCTTCCTTGCTGATCTAGGGATGGGTGGGATATGTTTCATCGTACGTAAATTTCCCCTTTCCGCGATTTCGACGTTGCTACTAGCAAAAGCGGCTGGCTCCCTCAGACCATACTAACTTTAGATTTTTATTAGTGGTGCTCCTTTTGGGAATTTAAGTTTATGGGTCTAGATGATTTATGATGAAGTGGCCGGGAACCATACGACCGGGGAGACTTGTCAGATGAGGTTGATACCCTTGGTTGATGTTATATACAGAGTAAATATCAGGGTGGTGTATAGTATATATTATATATTGTTGATCTAGTAACGTCTGGCCCTTTGACCTTTGAATAGGGAGTTGACCGCCATTTGTACCTATATATAATAGCTAGCAGACCCCTGGTATATCGACTTATTCCACATACTGTACTTCTGACAGAGCTAGGTCAGCGGCAAATTTGAGTTTCTAAATGAGACCAGGAGCATTATCAAGCTACTGTTTAGCGTTCATAACAAAATAAAGGTTCAAAAAATAAAGAGACAATATTCGGGTTCGCTGATAGCCCTGCTTGCAAAGGATCCATCGCTTTACGCCCCCGTCAATCCCTCGTGCGGCTTTTGGAACTTCTCAGCCTCCGGATATGCAATTGGCTCGGGTTCATTCTATCCTGCCCGATGGAATTGTAATGCTAACACCGGCATTGTTCTTTCCCTTGTTCTCGGGGATGTCGTTGGAGACTATTATGATAGTTATTATAGTTGATTCTTCCCAGAGCGACGCGTTCGATGCAAGGTACTTAGGTAACCAACCCCCTCCCCTCCCCCGGCGACAACACTCCACCAGACTTCAGCTCCGGCATAGGCAATGCGATGTTTTGAACTGGAATTACGGCAACATAAAGAATTATATGTTGATTGGGTAGTCCTTGTCAAAGCTGTTTTGTACATTCTACCGAACGACTACTACCGGAACGGTGTGGAGACCGGAGGACTGCGGGACTAGGTAGGTACGGACCGGACCGTGGTAAGGTACCTGCTTCATTCGGCACGTGAGCGGAACCGACTACATGTATACATGCACTTAACTGACTCCTCCTCCAATACTACCCGACATTAGGTAGGTACCTATAGCAGGTACCTTACGTATCGAGATTGTAATCTCAATTTTGAATCTTCCCGTAATTTATCCATCATCTGGACACGAAGAACCTACAACAATATGCAACATTCCTATGAATTTCGTTTGCGAATCCAGTAGTCCGCTACCGTGGAAAGAGATGGCAACGATTGGTATTGTATTGAGGATGAAATACAACGCCTCAGACGCCGCCAAAAAGTCCAGAGTATCAAGTAACCGGGCCAGTGGTGGAGGAACGAGAGAAGAGTAGAGTTCCAATAGCCGCTGGACGCAGCCTTACACGGCAACAGGTCAAGAAGCTTCTGGCCTAAATAAATGCCTTGCTTATTTCGGACGGAGCGAAGGTTTTTGATTCTCAGGGTATGTTTCTCAGCGTACAGCCTCACCTTTGGATCTCCGTTATTCGTTAGGGCTATTTTGGACTCCTGAGCAGATGTCGCTCGCGAGTGCGATTATCGATCCACTTGAGAGTGGAAATAAGCCGACGGAGTCATGGCCATAGATGATCAATAGAGCCGAATTCCCACAGATAGAATGCATCTGATGCTTGACACATCAACAGTCTTCAAGTTCATTCCATTCCGGATTCACACTTGCGGGTTATTTTAAACCCTTCACAGATTGAGCTGGCTAGCCCATTTTGCTGTATGGCTCAGCTTGCTTCTAGTTCTCACTCCATGTGCCATTTTTAGCTTGATCGTTACCCCTTTTTATTAGGTACAATCCTATTTGACCTAATATGATATCGAGCGAAGAAAAGGGATATATGGATAACCCAAAATACTTGCCTCGTTCTTATACTTTATAATCTCCTTGAATAATACACAATACACCCTCGACTTCTATGAGATACCTCCTGTATTGCGTGCTTAGGTACCCAGGTATACATCTAAAAATATCCACGCATTGCTACTCACCTCATTCAGCTCAACGATTTCCCTTGCAAATATACAACGCACCAAGATGTCGCAAGCGATCATGATTTTATACACAAAATGGGTGGCTATATACAGCACCCAAGTATGATTACAAGCGTCTCTTTTGGGGCGTCTCGGAATGTCATCAACTATGCCGTGGCCCACCACAACCATCGCGTGTAAACGTAACCATGCAGCCCTCATAACCCCTCTAGCGGTCGTTCCATTCCTAATTGTACATGTTTTTTTTCGCGGGTTCTCAATTATCGTCCTTGGAATGAGATAGAACTCAACCTCGTATGAGCTCGATACTGGGACTTCTCAAATAATAACCTAGAACCAGTACGTGCGAAAAGAGTCTATAATGATGATTTTTTTTCATGCAGAATCCAACCTACCCGGCGACAGCTATGCCTCATATAGGAGCATAAAATGCTTGTTAAAGCAGTCAAGAAGAACGGCGGAACTGCACGGGGTCTCTAGCGCACCAGTCCTGCAATTATAGCTTGAGTTCTGGTGCTGGATTACCGAGATCGTGTATTAAGGGCGCGAAGGCGGGAGAGGGGAGCTTCTATACGGGGAAAGTCGTCCAAATATGGCAGAGATGGGGACTTAAAAGGGGATGTTAGGAGACGCCTGAGCACCAAGAGCTTCTTGTTGCTCCTGCAGTTCCTCGCCACCGGCTTCGATGCTAATACCAAGGCCGACCTTGGCGGATTGCTAAAAAAAGAGGAACTAGTTAGAGAGAACATTGCACGTGCAAAGAGTTTGAAATAGACTCACAGTAAAATGGTCGACATCAGCGCAGAAGGACATCGTGACAGGTGGTGCTACACGCTTCTCTAGTATACAGGCCAGTTTTCCCTTGGAATCGACCTGCGCTCGGAACGTTGACATTCGGAAGTCATATTTGACACCAACAGACGTGAGTCCCTCCTTCTGCAGGCCACCGCCCATCAGACCTCCAGGGCCGGGGACTATCTGGAGAGTCATGTCGACACCGGCTTGAACCTTGTCCGACAACCTTCGCCAGTAGGTCGTGTTGAGTCCGCCTTGCGCATGGAACTGAGCTGTCGCAATCCAATCGTCGGACTTATACTTTGCGTAATACGACATGGGAGACTCGGGGGGTTGATTTAAGGCAGCGCGTTGCCATACGACTTCGACACCCAAGGCAAGCTTGCGGGTAATCGACTGAAGATGGTTCAGGATATAAATACCGGTTAACCCACCCTCGAGATAAGAGGGATTCAGCATCTTAATGGAGGAGGTGAAATCGCTGCCAGTATATTCATGCTCAATTGAGGCCATATCCTGTGCGCCTATGGAAAATTGCGTCTTGGTGACAAGCGAAGAATTCCAGCGGTAGTTGAATCGCGTAGATAGTATACCATTGTTATCCATGTTCCCTTGAAGGAACACCTACAACAGAGTAGATTAAATTATATGTTAATAACTTGATTTCTGTAGGGGGGGAGGGGGATAATGGAGGGGTCAACTGACCTTGTTCGTGCCAAAGAGTCCCGCAAAGGCATAAGGATTCTGATGCTCGCCCATGGCAAACTGATGCGAGACTTGGAAAAGCGGCGAGAAACTGACGGCCTTTGTAAGGTCTGCTCTTAAACCTGTATGCATGTAGTTGGTGAGAGAAACCTCGCGCTGAACCTCCTTTGCGATAGTCTCGACAGAACCAGGGTTGGATAGGCCAAGCTTGGCTCGTCGCTCGGAGAAAGATTTGTATGCATCGGAAACTGCATTGACTAACGGGTTGGCGGTTAGGAAGCCTAAGGGCGAGTGCCCAGACGGCTGCGACTCGAGGCTGAAGGCCATTGTGGGAAGTAGAGGTATCAGGGCAAGTTGACTGGCGTCTTTAAATAAGAAATGATGACAGAAGACGCGGCGGAGCGCAATTTAGAAAATAGCTCCAAAGGTTCAATTTTTATGGTAAATATTCGGACCGGAAGTACAAATAATTCTTGAAGGACAGTTTACCCAGATTCCCGAGTCTGCGAGCTGCCGACAATTGGGGGGTTTGAGTTGTCGGTTTTTGATTAGCTTGCAGAGGTGTCAAAGAGGAAAAAAAAAAAAAAAAGATTCTTGGGGCAGACGGCTGCAAGGTCAAGATCCTGGTAGGTGAAATGTCCATTTTCATCAACGGAATAATCCTTGTGCCGCTCTAAAAAACCTTTACCTAAGGGCATGCAATAGGTTCTTTCCAATATGCTAGGTGCAAAAGTAAGTACCTAGGTACCTATATTTACCTACATCACCTAAGGGTACGTATCTCTGTGACGTACTTACCTACAACCTGTTACAGCCCTGCCCTGTGTAATCCGTACATACCTAGGTACCTAACCTAACTTGAAAAGAAAAGTTGCGTCACCCGTATCTCCCCGTCCTTACGTAAATTTCACGGTCTCAGCCGCCTTAATTCAGATCCATGCGTCCTGAGTCCTGAGCCCTGAGTCCTGACAACCTGGGCCATCTTGAAAGAGTTTCGAAAACCCGCATGTGCACATGTGCATGAACGATCCGCTTTCTTCTGCTTGTGAAGGATCAACACGCTCGATATCCTGAAAGCTTGTTTCGCGATCGGTACAGTGTGCAAGTATCTCATGCGCGTATCTCAACTTTCGCCAGGTCAATTCTTACCGCGAATCTACATATCTACATCGAATCTACATCTATATTTGCGGACAAGAAGGTCCCAGTCTACCCCTTCTACCCCTAGCTTCTGCTTGTGGATGCGTCCTTCCTATGGAAAATAGGGTTTAAACTATTCTAATCTTCATCTCAATCCCTCGAGCTGGTAATTCTTTACCTAGTTGAGGCTTTACACACTCTGACTATAGTTAGAGAAAACATCAAGTTTGAGATTATTTTCAACTACCAATTAGCATAGCCAACAGGGTGCATTCTACCTTTCTACCGTTCTACCGTTCTACCCTTATCCCTTTGAAGGCAAAGGGAATATATATTCGAGAGCTAGTGCAATCGTTGCCGTGGCACCTAATAACTAAGACAGTCAAACACCACTGTCAAACCAACCTGTTCTCGTCATGGACACCTTACTGTAAGTACAATATATACCTGCTCAGCGACTTGGCACTTGAGCGCACCTACGATGTGACGGAGTCCTTGTGTTATTATTCTTGCAGGGCAACGGGACGGATAGGTAGCTACTTTGCTATTTTCGTGGGTGTGGGCGTATACCCTCTGCATTTACCCAGTCCCTTAAATATCATTACCAAAAGCATCGTTTTAGAAGAGAACTCTTCGAGTCCGAGAGGACTTGGTCCTTTTAAGTTTTCCAATTTATATATCTGAGGCCCCCATCCTCATATTTATTCCGTTTCCTTAGACCTTTTTAAGGAATATAAAGCGCGATATTTACATTGGCATAATTCCGATGCCCCAAAAAAAGGCCGATACTAATTGTAACAGTACTGCGGATATCGCCGCCAATGCCCCGAGGTACCGACGTAAAAGCAGCACCTTCATCGATGGCATCCACGATGTTCCGGAAGACGGCAATAGGGCACCAGCCCAGCTGTATAGCACGATGTCAGGAAGACTTTTCCACTCTGGCCGCATCGCCATTGTGATGGTAGGACTTCCTGCGCGAGGAAAGACGTAAGTTTCAGCTCTATTTGCGTACGTTGCGCGAGCGCTAACGTTCTTATAGCCATATTGCTGTCTCTTTGGCAAGATATTTACAATGGTATGCTAGTTGCTCCGGTACAACGAGTCTGGTCTCATATGTTTTAGGTTGGGTGTAAAGACGCGAATTTTCCACCTTGGCGACTACCGTCGAGCTACTGTTGGCCAGGGTGGTCATGTACCCGAGGACTATTTCTATCCTAACGCCTCGCCCTCTTCAGTTGTCCTGCGCCAGAAAATCCTTAAGAAATGCCGTGAAGACATTTACGGTTGGCTCAACCACGAAAACGGCCAAGTAGCAATATATGATGCAGTGAATCCTACGGCAAGTGGTCGTCGCTCGCTAGCCAAAGAGTTCGCTAAACACGACGTTCAGGTAAGACTTTATCTATACGAGTATCCCTGGGCAAGGGTTAGTGTTAACGACGTTCCAGACTCTTTTCTTAGAATCCTACGTTGACGATGAAAACCTCCTTCGAGAGAACGCACGTAACGTTAAGATTGGATCCCCTGATGTACGTCACATAGATTTTCCTCTTTATTCAACCACGACTAATATCTACAGTTTGCCGACATGGATCCTGATGAGGCTGCTAAACTATATCTCACACGCATGGAAACTAAGATACCAACATTTGAAACTATGAACGAACCAGAACTTAACTACATCAAGATGATTAATGCCGGCCAGAAATTCTTCTACAACAATGTATCCTTCAATTATCTCTCACACCGCATCGTCTTCTACCTGACCAACACCCATATCAAGTCTCGAGCAACCTTCTTCGTTCGACCCGGTACTGCAACGGAAGAAGAAAGTTATAAAGCGGATCCGCCCCTGTCCGAAGAGGGAGAGAAATATGCCAGAGTAATGACAGAGACTGTGATTAAGCATCGTGAGCAAGAACGAGCTGCACGGATTGCAGAAGGAGGGTCTGATGTGCCACTACGCCCGCTAACAGTATGGTGTTCAACACGTATGCGGACTATGCAAACGGCGGGTGTGTTTAAGGAGTTAGGATACAAGGTTCGCCAACGAAGCCAAATGGCCCAAATCAATCCAGGTGTTTGCGAAAGGCTAAGCGAACGGGCCATTCGTCGTCTCTACCCCGAAGAAGTAGAAAAACACGAGCTTGATCCTTATCACCACCGTTATCCGCGTGCTGAATCCTATCACGACCTTGCTGTACGGCTCGAACCAATCATTCTAGAGCTTGAACGTGAGCAGAACGACCTACTGATCATTGCTCATGAGAGCGTGCTACGGGTTCTTTATGCGTATCTTATGCATTGCAGTACCATGGACATTCCTAATCTCAAGTTTCCACGAAATGAAATCATTGAGGTTATTCCAGGCGCATACCAGAACGATGCTAAGCGCATTCATATTCCAGGGCTCGATCCCTCGACTGTCCCCGGTTCACCTGAGGACATACGTATTCCCGTGCCGGACAGCGAGGTCGCTACTCCGGCACCACTTCCAGGTGGTGGCCTCTCGGCGCCAGCGGTACCACCTATTGCTGCCGAAAAGCCGCCCGAAAGAGTGGTTAATACGGCGGCTGAAGCCGTGAGAGATAAGATTACAGACGAGGATTAGATCGTATTGAAACTTAGCATAGATACTCATATAGAAACGCTAGGCACTTCATAACAATGCATTCAGCTGCTGAAGTATTACTCTAGATGGGGCGATGATAGGAATCGCATTCGTTAAGGGATGATGAGTACATGATTCCTGGAGCAAGGGTTGTTACGTCGTGACGGCTTTACGAGACCGAAGCAGGCAAGGTAGCAAGGACAAAACTATTGGTACTCCCCAAGGAGAAGGAAAAGGCCGCCGGCTCGCGTCGGTAATAAACTCAGGAAAGACAGGATTATGGGCATTAGTTCTCCAGCGTTAAATAAATGTTAGTCAAGTAGCCATGAAATATATCGTGGTAAAATGACAAGTTTTACAGAAAACATGTCGAAAAGAGTGCCCCTTTTCCAAACCTCTTTAATTGAGGATATTCCATTTTATATCCCCGACAACTTCACACCATTTCTTAGCAAGATCCTTTTTAGCGTTTCTTCCCTTTCTATATAGTTTAAATTTTAACGAATTTCTCTTGATGGCGTATATGCACTTATATATATACCCCTATATATAGTAAGGCTTCCTCCTTTTATTCTGGTGTTGCAACTTGCCCGGCTTGCCAGTGTTGAATTGTAAGCTAAAAAAGATGAGTGGGGATTGGAAGTGGGCCAGCAAGTACAAGACAAGCGCGGTGCGGTGCGGCTCCCAGGCTGCCAGGGCGCATAGGCCAGTGTTACATCCTAACGCTAGCCCCGCTAGCCAGGGTCAAGACTCAAGACAAACCTTAAAACAGAACCTTAGCAGCTTTCGTGTCGCATACTTGAACCTGCTAATATTACCTATAATTTATACCTAACCTAGGTACCTACCCTCGCATCCTTCCATATTGGCGGCAACTCTCGACTTTAGTTTTTCCTAGGAACTTATTACTTATTGCAACAATGGCTGGCCGATCAGCTTAAATGACTGACACGAGGCTAAATTCACGGTGTACACGGAATATACGAAGCCACGAAGTCGTCTGCTAGCATGCTACAAGGCCTGGCGCCGTAACTTCTAACCAACAGCCACCCCTCCAGTCCCTTTTCCACCGAATGTATAGCTACAACCGCTACAACCATGTCCAACCGGTACGGCGCGTCATACCGCAAAGGCAACGACAACGGCAACGGTTCCGCTTCCGCTTCCGCTGCGAGGCAAGACGAAGAATATGATCCCTTTGGCGATGGCTATACGAGCGATCGTTATGGCACTCCTCCTCAGCAATTAAATCCCCGAAGAACACCGCTTGAATCCAGCCGGAGCCCTGGTTATAGCACCTCGGGTTCCAGACTGCACCGTACTAACGAATCAAACGCCGAGCGGCAGATAGGCCAGGTCCTCGAGCTCATAAAGTCCGAATGGCCTGCAATGGTCCAGGATGACTGCATACCTGTCTCGCTAGCACTTCAGTTACTGGATAATAGTTCCGTCGGTCGAGCACACGAATATAGAAGTTTCAAGAAGACGCACCAGTACTTACAGGACTCCCTCAAGAATATTGTACATGAACACCACCAAGGATTCAATAGTTCTATTGGTACCTTTCATAAGATCCAGGGAAGCATACAAACCTCACAAAAACGTGTGCGCGCCCTGAAAGAATCCCTGGCAGCGTCTAGAACGAGTCTCTGCGCGACAGACCCAGAACTCAAAAAGCTATATAAAACGTCACAGATGTATGACGATGTCTTACAGACATTAAACGAACTGGAGGACCTGCGCACAATACCGGACCAGTTGGAAGCTAGAATATCCGAGAAGCGTTTCTTAACAGCTGTCGAGGTCCTACAAAACGCGCTTCGAAAGCTGCGGAAGCCGGAGCTTGACGATATTGGAGCTTTAAGTGACCTAAGAAGCTACCTCGCTAACCAAGAAACCGCTCTGATGGATATCTTAGTCGAGGAGCTACATGAGCACTTGTATCTGAAGTCGCCCTACTGCCAGGAACGATGGCAGAATCTAGCCAAGAACCAGGGCGCTTCCAATGCGAACTATACCGACCCAGGCATTCTTACTCCGTTTCATCTGATCCTAGATTCGATGGATCTTGGAAGCCCAGTCACCGAAGACCCTGCGAAGAATCCCGAAGCAGATACCTTTTATTATATCAGTCTTGTCGTCGAGTCACTCAATAAGCTTGGCCGGTTGGAAAGTGTGGTTGACACCCTGAAACAACGGCTCCCTGTTGAGTTATTTACCATCGTGAACGAGACAATCAATGAAGTAGACCAGAGGCACCCCAGCTCCCTAAGGGGTGGCTCAGGTAACGCAAAGGGTCTACACATATATGGTAGCCGGGAGACTCGAATGCGTGCCGATGTCATATATGACTTATTATGGACATTGTACGGTAAATTTGAGGCTATTGCCGAGGGACATAGAGTTTTCCACGAAGCTATCAAGGCGCTCATTCGACGGGAAGGTGCTGGTAATAATAGCTCTCTCCTTGGGAGCTTCAAGGAACTGTGGAATCTATATCAAAACGAGATACGCTCCCTTTTGCACAATTATGTCACCACGGACGCAGACGTTTATCAATTTAATACTTACGCTAGACAAGGCATGATGCTTAATGGTAATAAGGACACATCCAGGGAGCATTTATTCAAATTCTCTGAGGCGGATCCGAAATCTGTCGAAATGACAGCTGAATATGAGGCCTTGGATGGGATAATACGAGCTGCTGTTCCTGGTCTCACATCCGCTTCCCAAAAGAAACAGGCTGTGGATAAGAAATCAGCAGCTGGAAGAGAGTCGAGGAGGAGTGCATATGCTGGAGCTTTCGATAACAGAAATTCACCTGGTTCTTACAAGTCGCTGGTAGAACCGAGTGTATTCAACATGAGCCTTCTTTTACCGCCAACTCTAATATTCCTACAACGCTTGAAAGCCATCGTCCCTCCAGGTTCGGACTTGGCTGCAAGCACGTTGACATCCTTCCTTGATAATTTCCTGGTTAATGTTTTCCAGCCACAGTTAGATGAAACTCTCAGCAAACTGAGCGACACAGTGTTTGGAGAAGTCGATTCGTTCCAGCAGGACCCAACCTGGGGCCTGGTGGCGCGTCGTCCGGTATTTAAGGTAACAACGGCATTTTTTGCTGTTATTACAGCCTTTTGTCGCATGCTTGGAACAATCCCGCATGACCAGGCGCTTAGCTCCTTAATTATCTTCCAAATGGCGAGATATTATGAAAGATGTTTCGCGTGGTTCAAATCACTAGTCGCTAAAGCGCAGGAAGTCGCCACAATCCCACAGCCGTTGCGATATTCTGCGGAAATCGCTACTGGGAACGGAGAGATACAGGAGACAGCCAAAAAGCTCTGGGCTTCGGATAGTCTTGACCACGCGTTGATAGAAAAAGAAGTTGAACTACTTATTAAGCACGCCAGTCAGCGATCCCTTGAACCAAGCGATATTATACAAGACCGCGATGTTATCTCGTCCCTATGCCTTCTATATACTAGCATGAAGTGGCTTTCGGTTAGAATTGTTGGCCTGCGGCACATTACCCGATTCGATACAGATTCATCTCAGCCTACCTTACCAAAGAACCAAAACCGGCGATGGACTCTCTTGAATGATCCTAGTAAGGCTAATGGCGAGGATCAGGGTCCTGTATACCTACCAATGACACAGGAAACTGTCCAGTAAGTCTTCGAAGCCTCCCCCCCTTGGTGTTCTTTACTGTGACTAACTAACTCGATATTTTATAGGTCATTTGATAGTATAGTATCCTCCTATGAGGACTTCGCTGGTACAGTGCTGCTCACTCTACATATGGAAATCCGATGTCGTATTATTCAATCCCTTAAGGTAGCACTATCTCCCGAAACAGCCCCGTATGTGCTAGGCGAGCAAGAAATCAAGGAACCTGACCCACCGGTTATATCGTTGAATTCTGAACTCGTCGCGTACGATGAGACTATCGTACGCTACCTCCGCGATAAGGAGACAGCCTTTGTGCGGACAGGCCTGGGCCTGCTTATCAACACATACTTAGTATCTAACGCCCTGGCCACGCAACCGATGAACTTGCGCGGGTGCGAGCGAATGCAGTTGAATATCCTTGTTCTCCAACAGAACCTTAAGAACATCGAGGCCGGCGTGGATCTCTCGCGGGCGGCAAACTACTATAGCCTATTCCAGGATGGCCCGGACCAGATTGTCGAAAAGGCCAAGCGCAACAAGGACCTCGAAACAAATGGTGGACCTCCCGTACCGGAAGCAGAGAGGTTCACTTACGATGAGTTTAAGGCTCTTCTTGAATTATGCTACAGCGAGCAGCTTGCCGATCCAGAAAGGGGTGTTGCTGCGGCTGCCAAGAGGAAAATGGGCGAGAAAGTATTAGCTCTGAGCGAGTTCATGTGGCAGAGTTAAGACGTTTGACATCTTTTTGCAGCACGACGAGGAGCGGCACGTTGCAAACCGGAGGTTTTTTTTTTTTTTTTTTTTTTCTCTGGAATTACGATTTATAGCATACTATGATATGCACGGATTTCTTATTTTTGCGGCGGGAATTATTTACGGTTTGTGTATAAGATTACCTGGCCTGAATTGTCCAAAGGCTTGGCGCATTAGGTCGGTACCTTCTCCCTGATGAAGGATGCAGACAGTTTCGAAGATAGCAATATTACACAAGAACTGTAAACGAAAACTGTAGGCAAGGGAGAGAAGCAAAGCTTGTTTTCTAGCCACGTAATAAGCCTGGCTTTGTTCATACCTACCTAAGTAGTATATATATATATATAACCAACTGTTGAGTAAGCTGATAGCTTACCATCGGGTGGAAAGGGAGGGACTCCTACTTTTTAAAAGATAACCGGTGGCTTAGACATCTCAATTCGACTACGTATGTACACCATTCCTTAGATATGTTGGGTGGCGGTGGGATATCGAACGAGGTTTACTGGTGTCACATAAACGGGAACATTTTCTATACGAAGAAGGAGAAAACACACACACACACACGAAAGGATGAAGTGAACTGCTTGCACTGCTTGTCGCATCTCCTTGATAGATATTCCTTCTATGGCTGCGGCCAAACACCCGTTGACTCCTCGCCGAGAGGTGCAGGTTTCGAAGAACCCCCAATATAGTTCCTTGGCACTTCCCCCGATGTGGCGGGCGCGTATCTGCATTGAAGCGTAGATGATTTATTTTTGTTTTGAGCCACAATGCCATAGAGGTCATGCGTACCTCATATGTAACCAGGTACCTTATCATCCAAAGCTGACCGACTGACCTTATTTATTATTTATCTTGAAACGGGAAACGGGAAGATACCTAAGCTTACCTACCTTATGTATCTAACCCTATTTAACCAACTCTAAGCCAGCGGCTAGATAAACTAAAAGAGCGGAATGGATTATTTTGACAGGTTCTTGACCTTTTTTGGACTACCTGTTGGGGAAACGCTCCAACACGGATTCGCAACGGCGCTTGCGGGCTATATTTACGTTACCTAGCGGCGGTGACGGTGAAGATGGGAGACCGTATCGGAATCTATGATACATAAGTACAATTGCTCGTTCGGAGATGCATACCTAACCTCAGCACAAGGTGTATATTTTTTTTCTTTCCTTCTTTCGATCATAACGCGTCGGCTAGCACATGCACATACGGGAGGGACCTTCTCCCCTTGGACGTTTCCTCAGTGTGGCGTTTGACGGGACCCTGACGCGAAACAATTGCGATCGATTGGCTAAGAGAAAAAGGGGGGAACGAGAAGGGGAATAAGAATCCCTCGACCTCCAATCACAAAAAAAAAGTGACAAGTCGGCGCAACGTTGCCACTTAAGAAATGTATTTATGTCATTAATGTCGTCAGATCCAACGTCAAATAAGCGAGGAATTATACTAATGTTAGAGGTAGAGGTATAACGGAAAAGGAGGTTAACGAGAGTAAAGATGAAATACTACAGTTTATAGTTAAGTGGATTTTATTAAACGGATAATTTAAATAATGAATATTGCCTAATATACATAGTATTCAGTGGATACCGGCATACCTAACATATAATGTAGTGTAGTGTATTACCTATGACATGGGTATTTAATATTTCGAAATCGATTACCTGCAAGGTAGCTAAACCCCGAACGAACTTGCTAGGCCGCTTGATTATTAGTTATCTTATATTATCTTAGTTATATTATCTTATGCTTCACCAGGTTTTCCTTCAAACTTCCAACCCCAAAGTTCTATTTCATCCCGGTGGTGAAATGGTGAAACTTAAGGCAGTACGGGTTAACATGAATGAAATGAGGCCCCATAGTCTAGAACAACGTCCAAGGCCCACAGCAGCATCAACATGCTTTACCTTTTACCTTACATAGTAAGTGCATATGGTTTTAGTCAGTGTATATTATGTACCTACCTTGCCTTTTGAAAAACCTCCTGAGGTTAGGTTAGGTACCTAGGTACCTAAGGTAACATCTAGAAATTTCAAGCGACAAGAGCCTCACTCCCTATGGGCCTATTCCCCATGACCTTACCTATTAGGTATTAATGGCTAAAAAGGGTTGTTTAGTTAGATCCCATGTCTCCTCAATTGTCTTCCTTGTCCTTCCGCCTGGTGTTATTTATATCTACCGGGACCTCAGCTGCCAGCATGCAGGCATGATAATGTCACATATACCTAATAACATAACACATTTTATTTATATAAAATAGAATATAGGATGGGAAAACGGGACAGCAGGATTAAGACAGAGTGAATTGACCTGCTTCTCCTAGATAATAAGCACGGTAGGCACAGTTAGGTAGTGTTATTAGGTAGGCTCAATGGGGAGGGGGAAGTTAATTTAATACTACCTACATTAATTTGTACCTTCCGTACCGACCCGTATTGTACATACCTACTAACCTAACCCGACCTAGGTAGTAGTACGAAGTACATAACGTAAAATTCAGGATTGTAGAACTAAACCGTATATGGTTAAATGTGTACTCCTTTTTGCTTCATCACGCACTGTGCTTTACACCGCAGTTTTCCTTCTGTTTTGCTCATTTCTTCGCCTAAGGTACAGTAAGAAATGAAAAGGATACTTAGGTACCGAAGTACTATGTTAAGCACCTAACCCAAGCCACTGCAGCATAAACCGTCCCTATTCCCCCCCCTTTGAATCGGCGCGTCACCCACTGACCATCAATCCCCGTGAAATTCAACATTGGACGAGCCCCCTTCCAAGTTCCAACCTCCATCCCCCGGTTCTACGTAGCGTCGCAAACATTCGAAGGGGGTAAAAACAACAAAATCATCTCCTTGTCCATCCATTCATCTACAAGATAATTTCGTTCGTTTTTTTTCCTTTCTGAAAAACCACGTCGGTATCTGCGGTACTTCTGCAAAACCTGTCAAGTCTCAAAGTCACAAAACGCAGGACGCGCCAAAGAGAGAAAAAAAAAATAAAAAAAATCCACACTCCTTCTAGATCCACCTCCTAAGTCTAAAAAGAGTTTAAAGTGATTCAGGATTCGACGAAATATTTCAAGTCAACAACAGCAGCAACTTATTAGTACCCAGATATCGAGCAAAGCTGCATCAAGATTCGCGTCGTTATCAATCTCGAATTCGGCATTCACATTCACTTTTTACTTTATTTTACTTTAACTTTCGCTTCGTTCCGTTTTAGCGAATCGATAATTTTAAAAAGGGACAAGGGAAAAGTTGGGATCTGAAATGACAAAGATATTGATGCTTCGATAAAAAAAAATAAAAAAAAGAACCAGTACCCGCCCGTTCTCCACATAGGATCCTGACCAGTCCAGTCTCGTCTACCTCCTTTTTGTGGTAAAGGGGAAAAAGAGATAACTATCATTCCCTCCGCTAACTATATGATATACTACAACATTCACGCGCGCACCTCCATTACACCAGCGTCCATTCAATTTGGGGGTACTGTTCTATCATTAATCAGCCCTACAACGATTGCATCTCTAGTTACAAATTTCCCTTGACCGTTGTCGATCTTTCATCTTCGGTCATAGAATAGCATTTTCGATTCCTTCCGTCGCATACTTTAAAAATAGTTTTGTACAAGATCGCTTTGCTCTGTCGAGCATCGCCGCTCTGGTGCAATACCCCTAGGACATACAGTTTTTGATCTTCTAGGGAATTGCCAGCCCAAAAAAACATTCAAGATGTCGTAAGTTGGCTTCCACCTTTTAATACTTGCTTGCCCTTCCGCTTGCTAACTATGAGTATTCAGGCTCGGAGGAGCTTTTCGCTCGTTCTGGCATACAATGACCAGTTATGATCGACGTGAGTAATCAACTGGAAATCATTCGCTATCACAAGCTTGCTTACCTTTCTTTTCTTAGACTCATCATTTGATTCTCCCTATCGAACCGGTCGCCATGTGCCTCTTAACAGACAAGATACTCTTACATCGGTAGCTACTGCTTCGGAATCTCGCGCTGATATTACATCCCCATACGTCGACGAATTTGGCCGACTAACTAGTGGCGCGGATGGTACAACATACTCAGGCGTTGGTATCCCGGTGGCGTCACCTCTCTCTCCCAATACTAACGGCCCATACTCTCCTGGATTACGATCTCTTAACGCCCGTCAAAATAGCAAGGATGATGGATTTGAAACTGTCAGTAGCCCTGGTGAAATTCCGATGCAATCGTTTGCCAATGGTGCGCCTCCGGCACCTCCGGCGGCTCATTCCTGGCGACGGATCGATACCTGGGCCGAAGAGAACTACCCAGAGCTATATGATCAGCTATGTGAAGGATGCACAACCAACGATCTGAACGAATTGGAACATCAATTGGACTGTTCGCTACCTCAGGACGTTAGAGACTCCTTAGCGGTTCACGATGGGCAGGAACGGGGGGGTAATCCGACTGGAATCATTTTCGGCTCTATGCTTCTTGACTGCGAAGAGATCGTTCAAGAATGGGACCAGTGGCGAAGGGTTAATCAACAGTATCTTCTCGATACTGCGGTTTCGAAACCTGCAGCTCCTTCAAAGGCATTCGGTGGCAGCAGCCAGGCATCCTCATCCAAGTCCGCTCCCGGCTCTCCCAGTTCCCATGGGTCGCAGAAAGAGTCCTGGAGACAAGATCTTCAGTCTCGTCAGGATTGTGTTCCTCCGGGAGCGGTTCAGCGAGCGTATGCACACCCCGCTTGGATTCCTCTTGTGCGAGATTGGGGTGGAAACAACCTTGCTGTCGATCTTGCACCTGGTCCAAATGGTATTTGGGGCCAAATTATCCTCTTCGGCCGAGATTACGATACGAAGTATGTCGTGGCAAGATCCTGGGCAGCCTTCCTGTCTGTGGTGGCAGACGATCTTAACAGTGGAAAATGGTTTGTAGACGAGGATACTCAAGAGCTCAAACTTCGCGAGTTTAAGTCGACTCGTGTTGAGCCGTCTTACTTCGACATCCTGAGGTGGAGGATGGATCAGAAGCACGGCCGCGGCGCCAAAGCCGCTGCCAAGCGCAGATCACAGATGCTAGGCGTTCCTACCTCTCCCGGAGGCTCACCTTATATAAATCCGGCAGATGGGGAGCCACGTGGTCGTACCATGCAACGTCTAAGCAGCCCGTCGCCTCTGGTTAGTCCCAACCGTCCGGGCTTTGGGAAGTCGAGTCCTCTTGCACGAGTTGCAGAGGAAGCAGCTGGCTCAGCATCTAAGCCCAGCACTAACGGTACTTCCCAGCCCAAGCTTGTGGAGGTCGAGACCCCTCGTCCTAGCGGTGAGACACCTAAGTTCCCGTCAGTAGCAGAGGCCAAAGGAAAGGATGTGACACCACCAGACTCCACGAAAGCCAATAGCACCGAAAGCGAGGATCTGGAAGAAGGGATGAAGACCATTGAGATCTGATATGAAAGTTCTACGACCGACAACGATATGCATTGTAATACGACGACTACTTAATAGACAGCAAAAGGGAGGCGTTCAAGGGTCGAAACCGGTGCAGGTCGGCATTGCCAATAATTTCGGCAGAGGGGCTCGTGTCTTACAGCTGTACGCACAGTCTTTCTGATCAATATTCCACCGAAGCTGGGCCCACTGATGAAGCGGGATTTGAAAATCCTTTCAAAGGACTCGGTCACGATCCTCGACGGCACATAAAGATTTTATATTCTTGTACTAATACCATTCGTCCACTTTTATTCAGTTCTGGTCATTCACTCGCCTAAGGACTTACGGTCAAGGGCGAGGCTAAGCGGCTGCATCTGGGTTTCGTTAATGAAGATGGAGATGGCGAAGCGGCCAGATGTTTGTATAGTTGGTTAGCAAACCTCTGAGGGGTAGGGCCGCATTTTGTTGATGCAGTAGCATTTTCAAATGGGGGTTTAAGTATGTGTAGAGGCTGCGATGGAGAGATTCGAGCTACCGACAATGAATAAGAAGTAGTAAGAGGAGGAGGCGTTCAGGAAGACTCTAACGTCGAGTCTCCCAGGCGTTGGGTGGTAAAGCACATCGTACTCGTGTCAACGTTTCAGGAAGTCAAATATGAACTATAGCACACAAACTATGTATAAGGGAAGTTGGCGCCTAATTCGGAGAGAGAAAGACAGAAGACGCTCGACGAAAAGGCATAGGAACAGACAGCAGGTACCGTGGAGCTTCTTTTTGAGCTTTTAATTTAAAAATGATTGAAAATGAGGCTTCGAATGTTCTTTTTGAATTGTAAAAGTGCTGGTGATGACTGGATATTTACCTAAGGTCCTACAACTTGGGTACTTGTTAGTTACTAACTACCTAGGTAGGTCATTACCAGTGCTTGTATGAGTTGTATGAGAGTGAAGTTATGAATTTGTAAGAATGTTGTCTTTATTTTACCTTAAGTCCAGTCCATGGATGTGTATGTGTTAGAGGTAGGTAGGTACATAGGTACTATACCAGCATCTAACGATCCCAGTAAATCGTGTTATGATGTTACGAACCAACAGCCGAGGAGATCACGTTCAGGCCTGGAGCGGGGTCTCAATATCCCTTGGTACGGACGTCGTGGTACGGCGTAACATTGAACCTTGAAAAGGGATGTGTCACGTGCCAAGGAGCATGCTGCAACCTGATCAATGCCAAGACCCGACCAGTCGTCATCAGCCTCATCGGTCAATCCATCCATCCATCCATCCATCTATCAATCTATCTATCCCCTAAGCTTTCCTCAAGCTCGTCCGACTTTCTTGCGAAAAACCCCAACCCTTCAAACCGACGACCGAACCCTTGCTCCCACATAAACCCCATCGATCGATATACCTCCCGACCTTCGACAGGTCTTTGTTTTAATTGCTCTTTTTGTTCTTTTCCTTTCGATACCTTAGGCGGGTAAAGCTAGAGCTTCCCCGAGCGAATATGGACATGGAGGAAGACCGCCTCTTCAAGTTCCGCCGGCCAGCTTGGCTTAACAGCGCCTGGGCGCGCAGCGCGGGCGTGTACACGGCGGGTGCGCTGGTACGTTTTCTTAGATTCTCTCTCTCTTTCTCTCTCCCCCCCTCTCCATACACACACCACCACCATCACCGCCCCTAGGTTGTTCTCCTTTAGACTACTACTGCTACTGCTTACTACCTACTTTCCTTACCAAATTGCTCCTTTGCTAACGCGCGCTCGTTCCGCGACGCAACGCTAGTTCTCGCTCGCGTTCTACATCCTGATGGACGCGGCGGTGTGGTCGGCGTCGCCGCTGAACGGGTCGTACGTGCACGTGACGTTCGTGGACTGGCTGCCGCTCATCTTCAGCTCGCTGGGGATGCTGATCATCAACTCGGTGGAGAAGGCGCGGCTGTCGGCGGACTCGTTCTCGTACAGCGGGTCGGGGGTCGCGTGGAAGGCGCGCGTCGTGCTGTTCCTCGGGTTCGCGGCGCTCGCGGGCGGCATGGCCGGCGGTGTCGCCGTCTTCGTCCTCAAGTACGTCGTGCCCGGCGTCGGGTGGCCCATGCTCGGCATGGGCGTCGAGAACGTCGTCGCCAACGCCCTCGTCATGCTCAGCTCCGTCGTCTTGTGGGTTAGCCAGAATATGGAGGACGAGTATAGTTATAATTTGTCGCTGTGATGAGGGGGAGATGGGGGACCGATCGATACGACGGGTGGACGGGTAGACGGACTTGGTGGAGCGAGGAAGATAACTGAAGTTGGAGGTGTTAGGAGGAGAGTTGCGAAGAGCGGACAGGCAGACAGGCAGGCAGGTGGGCAGAACTTGGACTGGCCTGGACGCTGGGGAGATTGATCTATTACCTATTGTACAATACAGCAGAGACGCACGCAGCATTATGGCGCGGGGACTGGGTCCAGGCGAGGCGAAACTAGGCGTGTAGTAATCCAGGGTTAAGCTTTGTTTTTGTTTTTGTTTTTTTCTATGGTCTCGGCTTCATACACTTTCGAATATTACTTAAGATTTCTGTGCCTACCTACCTAGTTTTACCGTTTGATATATGTATTTGCCGACTCTCCTGCTTCCATTCGGGATCGCAACGTAGTCAGGAGGAGGGGGGCTATTGTGTTAGGTCCTTTACCGTGGCTATAGCAGGAAAGACATCATCACTATCATCTGATTAATTACATACTGATGGTTCGTAGGCCAGGTAGATACTAGCTACCTAGGTAGTCACAACGCCTGTTTTTTAGGTCCTAATCATAGACTACGTACTTCCGAGCAAATAGATCACTCACTTGATCGTAGGTAAGACTTCAGAGCCTAGGGATAATACATGGTTGCTTCGGGTGGGTGTGAGAGTTTTCTTTATTCATTATACTTTACATAGCTGCCAACCTCTAAGCAGCATCGCATAGACGGATATATGTGCATATCATGGTCTTTCTTTCTTTCTTTTTTGTTTTCTCATGAACGCCATCCCCTCGCACCATATACATAATGCCCCGGAATATCTCTGCGGACTTCATCGAGATCGAAACCGTAGGGGGAGCTTAGCTCTGTCGCAGTATAGTAATACACGGATTCTAGTAGCCTACGCATGGCCGGGCCGTACTAAGAGAGGGGAGACAAAAGCCTGCCATGGATAATTAGTAACATTTTCCCCCCTAGAGACTTTATGAATCAAGGGTGGAGGATAGAAGCTTACTTGATGATGGAAGGTCGGGGGTCGCTGCGTGTGTAGCCTGTTATAGTTGTGCGGTTAGATGTCATATCGTCTTTTGTGCGAAGAATTCGTCATAGTGTTCCGGAGACCGATCAAGGCGTACCTAGGTAAATTATCAGAGGCAGGTAACCACTGTTTAATACGTTAGCATCGTGGACAATGTTCGAATAATCGTATATGGGAGGGATAGCGCATACTAATGCATTGCGACTCTTCCGATTTCGATAATCTTTCCAATGCGCTCCTTGGATTCTTCTGAGAGGGCGAACATGCTGGGCAATGCGATTCGATTCGATATTGAGGGTCTTTCTGTTATTTGAGGACAGGGAATAGTAGACCACTTGATAAATGTGTTTATTGAAGATATCGTATTTGGTTGACGAATATTTGAGCTCAAAATTCAATCTGATAAGCCGCTGATAATGATAAAACCGGGCGGGCTGGCGGGACAAAAGAAACAAAAGCTCGACGTAATTGGTTTAAGTTGGTGAGTGGGTATAAAATTAAGGTCGCGGCCAATAAGAGCCAACACAGCACAGTTGAAAGCCACAGATGGCTGGAGCTTATCCCTACATTTAGACAACCTGGGACGCCTGGGAAAGTTTTAATGAAGTTTTGGAAGCTTCGATGTGTGATAAAGGACTCCACAACAACTCGCGACTTGCATGCAAATACATGGTATAGATAGGTACAGAGTACGAATCGCGACATTCTTTTTTTTTCTCATCTTTACAACTCATACTTAAATTAACCCCAACGTGACATACCGAGAATCCAACATAGAAGAAGCTTACCGAAAAGCGTCGCATCAATATGTCGGGGGCGAAGCATTGGTACGTCTCTCACGTCTCTCACATTTTACATTTTACATTTTACATTTTACATTTTACATTTTACATTTTACATTTTACATTTTACATTTTACATTTTAAGATACCGATACAACATTAGATTATAGATTGTATATGATTGCATATGATTGTATATAACTTATACTAACTATCATAACAACAGGGAGCAAGACAAAGAAGCCACCGTCTATGTGGGTAATATCGACGAACGCGCTACCGATGCTCTGATATGGGAGCTGATGGTCCAAGCCGGCCCTGTAGTCAACGTACATCTCCCCAAAGACCGCGTCACCCAGTCGCATCAAGGCTTCGGCTTTGTTGAGTTTAATGGCGAAGTCGACGCCGATTACGCTGCCAAAATCATGAACGGCATTCGCCTGTACGGCAAGCTATTACGCGTTAACAAGGCATCCGCAGACAAGCAGAAGCCCCTCGAAATCGGTGCCGAGCTCTTCATCGGCAATCTCGACCCCATGGTCGACGAAAAGATTCTCTACGATACCTTCGGCAGATTCGGCACCCTCATCGCCCCGCCTAAGGTTGCTCGCGACGACAATGGCTTAAGCAAAGGATACGGTTTTGTTAGTTATAGCAGTTTCGAGGCCAGCGACGACGCTATTAACAACATGAACGGTCAATTCCTGATGAACAAGGATATCAGTGTGCAGTACGCGTACAAGAAGGATGGTAAAGGCGAACGCCACGGAGATGAAGCCGAGAGAATGCTTGCCGCCCAAGCGAAGAAGCACAACGTCACCATCGAAAGCCAACCCATGCCGCCCGCGCTCCTTCAGAACCCTATTCCAGCTCCCCCGCCTGCTGCAGTTGCTCCTCCACCAGCCATGGCTCCTAGCGGATTTGACCCTTCCCTAGCCGCTGGCGTCCCCCCGCCGAGGCCGCCGGTTGGCTTTACCCCTCCCGCTCATCGTGGGCCTCCTCCGCCGTTTGCTGTTAATGGCGCGCCTCTGCCACCGGGAGCCGGAAGGCCAAATGTTTTACCGCCTGCTCCGTCAGGCCTGCCAGCGCGCCCTCCGCCCTCGCAAGCTGGGTACGGCAGTCCGGCAGACTTCCATCCTGGAGGGTTCCGGATGCCCCCTCCGGGTTTTGGCCCTCCCCCTGGTAACATACCACCTCCGCCTCCCGGGTTCGCTCCTGCCCCTGGATACATTCCACCTGAAGGTCAAAATCCGGGTTATGGCCGATGAAGGACAGGAATCATGTCCTCTTAGACCAGCCCAAGTACAAGCTAAGGGCCTGATTTCATGGTCGTTTACCGAAATATTGCGCATAATCTCATAATCAAAGCCCTTTGCCGCATTAGGTGCAGAGAACCTACCCAAAATAGCGGATACTAAAGCTACCGCCTCTAGGCGGTAAGCTGATATGTTTCCCGTCCTCGATACCGAAGAGGCATAATTACATTCTCCATAGGTGGAGGCTAATAGGTGCAGACGGATGGTGACAAGAAAGCACCGAAGGAAGGCTCATGCGGCTACCAGCCCGTTTGGACGATAGCTCAAACAGCATGATTCAAACAAGAGTTGGGGTTTCTAATCGGTACGAAAACCCTTGTGTATGGAGCAAATCGCTTAGGCGTTTCTTCAAGTATGGGAACAGCCAAGTCGGGGCAAGTTTACTACTGCTTCTTGCAATTTTGATATCAATGCTAACTGGTAGTAACAGCGAAAGGCATAATCAATAGATGAATTGTGTATAAATCGTGGGAAATGCATGGTGGCACGTGCGTTGTCATATTGACTGTTATAGATCTAGCCTGACATATAACTCTAACATTAGGTAGGAGGTAGTTAATCTTAACACAATGTCAAGAGATGAACTTGGGTGTTTTGTTGATCAACTGCCTCTATGGAAATTCATTGAGACGTTATTCAACAGTGTCACCGTTAAAAAAGCACGATGAAATTTCATTTATACGGTGCCGTGATAATACGCCGACCTGTGATGACGGCACTTGATAGCAATGTAATGCATCTGTACCTTGTTTCTACATTTTAGGACATAAGGATCAGGGGTTCGAGCAACGGCGGTGTTATATTATACACTGGGTGATTCTAGAGCAGTACACCGACTCTGCTCCGGCACTTCAGGTTGTCCAACGTACCACAGACGGCGGGTGCATCGGGCAGTTAACTATAAGGGGATAGAAACCGTTTAAGCAGGCGCCCTCCTTAGCTCGCCTACTAGAAATTGATAACACTGTTAGGTAGGTACCTAAGGTACCTAATGTATCATTGTTCCAGAGCAAAAAGTTGTCATTATAAGCTAGGTAGGTAGGAGGTAGGTAATAAATAATACTGATAGATGGGAGCACAGCACACCTCGAGAATAGCAAGCTTGCAGTGTTCGTCCTGAGTGAATCAACCCCCTTATCTATTGTCAATCTTTCATGAAGTAATTCTTTCTTTCTTTCTTTTCTTATTCTTCTGTCTTAATGCTAGGTAGGCACATAGGCGGCGATAGTAAAGTATAGTAAAGTATAGTACAGGGCTGTGCTGTGCTGTGCTGTATTATAGTCAACATCATCCAGAAGGCGGTGTATAATATAAGGGAGGTTCTCCTATTTGGTAGGTAGGTAGCTTCTACCTTAGGTACCTCCTATTTTCTTTTTGCTTGTGGCAAAGCCCGGCGTGGGGGTGTGTATGCGTGTGCGTCCGTGGCGTTATAAGATGGGCTGGCGGACGCCCGGGCAGAGCATAGCAGAGCCGGTACCTAATAAGCGAACAAGCAAACAGACAGACAGACAGACAGACAGACAGACAGACAGACAAATAAAACCCGAGTTCTTGAAAGGCGAGTTGGCCTGGATTAGAGGTCAAATTAAGTGGTAAAAAAAAGTTTTAAAAAAGAAATAAAAATTAAAATTAAAAACCGTTAGCCGAGTATGGCGTCGGAATTACCAACCGGCCTTGTATGATAAGTAGGGTTAGGTTAGGGAGGCTCGAGATTGGACTGACTATCCGCCCGCTGAGAAGCCAGTAGATGCGTGTTGGGCTCACCCACGTGTATATACCTGCAGATTTGGCCGAAGGGATTCGTAATAGCCTGCAGGTAACTCTATGTATGTATGTATGTGTATGTGTGTGTGGCACTTCACATCCAGTTACCCGGCACACGGAAAGCGGTGGAGGGTTGGGAAGGGGGGTGGGGGTTTGTTGTCGGTCTGTTGGATCTCGGGGTCGACGATGTGATTGATATAGTAGGTAGGTAGCGGATGATATCTAGCATACATGTACGATGACGGAAGTAATATAGCATACCTAACATAGATGCTTTGGGTAGATAGGGAGGTAGGTAGGTAGGTACCTATCTAACATATCCTTCACTTGTCCTTTTCCAATTCGTATACATCAAGGGACTAACTAACTACATAGTACGACGTTATTATTACTATTATTATTATTATTACATAGCCAGGTAGGTATTATAGTGTTCCTAAACCAATGGCAAGGTGCTAGCTACCTACCTACCTAACCTACCATTTTCACCGCTATTTTGAAGAGGGAAAAGGGGGAAAAGGGAGGAAGAAGACTTATGCAAGCCTCTGTTTGCCCGTTCTTCGTACAGCAGATGATATCCTAGGGCCGATTGGAGGGAGATAGATGGAGAGGGAGAGGGAGAGGGAGAGGGATATTACATGGCGAGTGAGGTTTAGAAGAGCTTTCATGCAGAGGATCGTCGTCTGTGTCAAGCAAGAAACGTCTGATGGAGGAAGCAAGTAGTATACTGGCCGACCCACCGCTTTTAGATCTCGAGGGTGGATATACATTAGGTTAGGGTAGGTATGGATAGAGAGACAGACGCATAGAAGTAGGTTAGACAGGCAAAGAGGGTACTTCCGTGCACGTTTTTAAGATTGCAGGCCATACGCATAGTTTAGGTAGGTATTGTAGCTGGTACGGACCGAACCGGCTGTGAGTGTCGATGGCTAGATGGAGTTCTCCTGACTTATAATCATGTTTACCTTAGGTACCTAACCAAGACAACAGGTTCAAGCCTTCAACCAAGCTTCCTTTACGTGGCTTCCGTAGATTCCAGCTTCATCAGGATTCGTACCCTAGATTACCTAGGTTAGGGAGGCAGTCATACGGCCATCGAAGCTGAAATCCTGCAGTGTCCTTGCACAGCATCTGTGTAGGTTGGGTAAGGTAGTTAGGTACTGTATCGAATGTTGAGGTTAGCTGCTTCTCGATCTAGTGTCTTTGGAGGATCTCTTTACGGTAGCTTAGATAGCGAGTTGCTGTGCTTGAATTATATTCTTTTTCTCCCTTTTATTTTACATCTTATGTGCTTTATTTAAACTAAAGTTTTTCTTCAGGATCATCTATAGAAGTCAGGTAAGGTAATAACAACAGTGATAATAATTAAGAATCAATATTGCTATGGCGAGTCAAGACGAGGTCCCCCATGAAACTTGAGAGTTCACGATAGAACGGACAGTATAAAAGACTTAAAATACTTACCAGTGGGAAGCTTGTCTAGTGCATCTCATTTGCTTACGCCATCGTATGATATTAATCTACCTACAACATTATACATGACATAGTCGGATTCAGGAGAGAGATACGCAAGGATCCAATCTACCTAAGTTGATAAGGAGGAGAAGCCGTATACGAAAGAATAGGTAAGTATGTCGTTCTTGGTGAAGGGTATACCTAGTTATCTATCGACTTACATCCACATATTCATCGTCGGAGCATATTGTTGACGAAGTCTACTGAAGCTTTACCCTTAGGCTTTCCAAAGTCAATGGTCAATGCGCCGACGCACCTCGACCTCATCGCGCTTATATCAGGAGTTATATACATACACTAGCTATGCGGGAATATGTTGTGATCCCAAGCATTTGGGCTACTCCCCTCATCAATGCCCCCGCCCCCTTGGTCCCCCCTAGTCAGTCAGTTTGTTCTGTCTATGGGGCCCGTGATTCTCAACAGCGTGCTTACGCGTTACACACACGCCGGGGCCCGGGAGATGTAAGCAGCCAGGCCCCCTTCGAGGAATAGACTTACCCTCCTCCCGGCAGTGAAAGCTCGATTCTTGTACCGCTAAGCATCTCTACGTCTACGTAGCTAGGTAGGTAGGTAGGTAACTAGCTGATCCCTAGCTTGTTCGTTCCTCTCTCTCTCCATCGCCCCCAAATATAGGTAACCAACCCGTCAGCCGTTATGAACCAGACTAGCGACAAATGGTTTGGATAAGCGACTGGGCATTAGGGCTAAGCGCTGCTGACTGACTCCCTGCCAGTTCTGGATTTACAGGCATAAGATTCACGATAATGAAAAGTGGGAAAGAGGTAAGTGTGATACCTAGAGCTACGACTGAACGCTCGGAAATGGAGCGGAGAGAGAGAAGAAGGAGATGATTTTCGCCACCGCCCCCCCGTTGCGGTGTTCCCATTCAGCTCATTGCGCAGACCGGCGAATTTCGTACGTGTGAAGCAAAGCATGTCTTCTACTACATGTGTGTGTGTGTGTGTATGTATGTGTATGTATGTATGTACCTAATGTATGTGTGTATGTCTGCATGTGCAGGTAGGCATCTACTACGAGAAGCGGTCTTTACTTACTACGGTGCTTAATGCAGATTCATGAAATGGATTCCTATCCAATGGGCATGCCGGGGAATCTAGATAGGCTACCGAACAAATTCCCCTCCTTAAAGCTTGCGCGATAGCCCTCGTCTGGCCACAGGTCGGGTGACACGACATTTCGGGCGTGGCAGCCGCATAAGGGGAGGGGAACTTTCTCACCCAACCATTTCGACTCCCAACCGGATGAAGATGGCTAAGGGGGGGGGGTTGGGGGGTTATGGATAATGGATGGATCTATATCCGCAAACATCTAGACAGAGCAAAGAATTGCACATATGTATGTAATGGGAACCAAAGTGATAGATCCGAGCGATCTAAAGAACCGACTTGCAACGTCACCATCTGTCAAGATCCTGCGCTGCAAGATCATGTTACTCTACAGGGGCCTCTTGACGTAGATGGATGGGTTAGCAGCGAACTTCCTCCTTCTCCCCCCTGAGGGAGTGTTGAGGGAAGAGAGACACTGTGTTACAGCAAGTAGGCCTTGTTCCCGCTTGTTCTGGATATAGCGTAACGTATGCAGTAGAGTAGATCTTGGACGAAAAAAAAAACATGTATCTACCTTGTAAATGCGGTGTGATGCCCGCACCGGAT